TATATTTAACCTCTAGAGTCTAGATAAAGAGATCGTTATTGAACACAACATTTTCTACTCCTGGCTGTTATTCAGTACCTCATACAATTTAAGGCGTTCACCCTGAGTTTTAAGCTTTACTCTTTGATTGGAGTGTGCCCACTGAGAGCTCGGTGAGCTCTGTGGATGTCTCTGCAGCGCTTTCCACATCCCTCAGTAACAAAGTGGTCACGAGCATGGTCGCGCAAATCTACTCACACACATCATCCCCATTCTGTCACTTAGTAACGATCCTGTAAATTTAGGATATTAATAGTTCCTATTGGTAGATTTGTTTTAAGAATTAACTCAAGTAATATATGTGAATCGCTTAGCACAGAACCTGCAACGTATATAGCAGTACATCTTCAGTGGATAGCAGTTACTGTTATTATTTCAAACATGGGTAGTTGGGTCTGAAGATTCATATTGCCCTCACTAATCTTCCAGAAACCCAGTTTGGGGGAGATTTATCATCTCTCCCTTAGCCATCTGAGGACTGGGTCTTCAGTGTCTGCAATCCCTCACCTTCTCCTCCTATGAACCTTTTACATGAAAGGCTTTGATGAGAGCTCAGCCTTATCAACCACCTTATGCCATGATCTTAACCTTTTTGGTTTCTTGGATCTTGTGAAAATCTGATGATTTGGTGTACGAGCAGATTTGCCTACACACAGTTTTGTGCATGTGGCCTCTCAGACAAGACCCCAGCCTTTGAGCCTGCCTTAGATTTGAAGTGGATAGAAAATCTGGACTAGCCAAAATTTTCTCTATGTGAAGTACAGTACTTAGGATACCTGGCTAGAGGCTTTCAGAATTTAGCAAGAATTCAGTTTGTCAGAGAAACCAAGGAATCTTAAAAAAAAAAACAAACACACCATAAACTCATTTCCCCCTTGGTAGTAGAAGGAAATCCTTCTGCACATAAACTGCAGAGAAACAGAATTTCTCTTAGGTATGTAGGGTTAATAGATGACTCCCCACCAGTCAGCAAAAGGGAACTGACCACGTACCCCTGCTCCCTGGAAAAAGATGCCTCCAGTCTGGCCAAGGACCTGAGGCTGTCCTGTCCTTGGGTTACTGCGGGATATGGAGTGTCCATCTTCAGAGGTGCCATGCCAGCCCCAAGCCCACCATATTATCAGTAGTGCACACTCTGATGTCTGCACAGGCTGACACCTGCTGTATCACAGACTCAGTAGCAACAGGTAAAGTCATTGTTTTCATGGATAGTGTTCAGTTTACTGGGGATGAGGTATAAATGAATATATCTTGTCACTTCCTAATATTTAGGGCACATGGAAGGATCTGAAAACAGGCAAAAGAGAGGGTTACATGGCAGATTAAACTCATCTTGCTGTAACTTTGTCAAAATACACTTGATGTTTGGGGTGTTTCTTTATGAAGCAGAGTAACAATCTGTTTTCTAGAATTGATGTCATGGACTGCCTTTGTGAGCCCCTCTCATTGACATCCTAGTGTCACACATTCTCACTGTAATCTGTAATCTCAGGTGGTCCTAAGGATTATCTTGATGCGGATAATTGTTATTTCTATTCAGTGTGGAATGGTACAGCATTTTAAACTAATTCCAATGTCAGGATATTATACTTCAGATAACATTTTACATTAAAGTAGAGCCCAGGAGCTGGCCCTGTGGCCGAGTGGTTAAGTTCATGCACTCAGTGTCAGTGGCCTGGGGTTCGCCAGTTAGGATCCTGGGCACAGACCTAGCACCGCTCATCAGGCCATGCCATGGCAGCATCCCACATAGATGAACTAGAATGACTTACAGCTAGGATATGCAACTATGTACTGGGGCTTTGGGGAGAGATAAAAAAAAGGAAGATTGGCAACATATGTTACCTCAGGGCCAATCTTCCTAAAAAAGGAAAAAGAAAAACAAAAGAACCCTGTAATTGGGCTTGGGTCTAAAAAAATAAGTAGAGCCCAAAGAAATTTACAGTAATTTCAGTAATATTATAAATGAACAATTGAAAAATAGTTACAAATATAGACTTCTATAAAAAAGCAAAGTACGTAGAGAGGTTCAGGAGTAATATCCTTAGAGTGAGTGGTGAGCATTCTGTCAGTTCTGAGTAACATCTCTTAGAACATCTCTCAAAAGAGAAATAATTCTTTTCTACAAGTGTGTAGTTCACTGGACAAGGGGCAATTATTGGGCACACAGAGCAGTTAGACATTTACAGAGGGATGGTGTGACAAATGCAGATTTACAGAGAAAACCTGAGGGTGAAGGCGCTGTGGTGTTGAGGAGTGATTGTGGATGGTGTCATACTTGGGGAGTTGTCTAGAACTGAGCTGAGCTGATGGTAAAGAAGTGGCAGAGAGCGGATGTAGTAACCAGGTGATTGGTGAGTGAAGAAGAATACATTTCTGTGTAAAGCAGCCATGATTGTTTTGACTGAATTCAACAGGAGCGTGATAAAGATAAGATTTGTAAGTTGTGAACCAAAGGAAATACATGAGGTAGGTCTTTGAAGATCAGGCTGAGGAAGTAGAGCCATTTGATAAACATGTGGGAGTTTATGGTCTTGAGTGAGGTAACGGAAGTGCGGCTCCTGTGTTCTAGAGTGATGGTGCTGGTAGCCAGATTTAGTGTAGTTGGGAAGCAGGTGCAGACAGTCACAACATCACTGGAGAGGGCGAGTGTGTGCATATGTTGAGGCAGAAGCGGGCAGAGACTTATTGGCTCTGTTGTTTACTCTGAAATTATAAAAGGAGGAACGCATCTACAATGAAGAAGTTCTAGCTGTCCCCAGGTGGAATGTGCTCTGCATCTGCCTTTGGTCCTTTCTCTTATTGCCAGTGGTTGGTTGGATCAGAGGCTTGGGGGCAGAAGGACGGAAAACCTCACAGCAAATTGCTACGTGGGAGCACAGCTCCACACCAGCTTTAAGGCTCATATACCCTGGAGTGGCAGCCACCTGTCGTGTTCCTGATCTAAGTAGTGTATTGTAACTTACTAGTATAATGTAAAGAAATAGCAGAATACAACCTGCAGATGAATTGCACATAATTTTGTAACCTAGTCTGCTAGTCTCGTAAACCTCTAGCTCTCCTCACCCCAACCCCCAGATGTCTCATGTTCTTGGGGAAACACAGTCCTTTCAGTACTCTGGTTCCACTCTGGTCAAAATAGGCCTCTTTCCAGTGACATATCCTCCCTATTTAAGCAAGCATTGTCAGCAATTCTCTTCCTGACTCTTCACCTTCTTGAGCATTTCTTTCCAAACTCTTAAGCCTTTTTCTTAATTCTGGGAGGTTGCCATCCCTTTGCCATCCCTTTGTCCCAGAGTGGACTCAAGCTAACTTAACTTAGAAGAACCTATTTCAGTTCACTCTCGTGCACCCTCATGAACCAAGCAAATTCAAGGCTTCACCTCCTGTGGTGTAAGGGCATAGGCCTGCTCAGGCAGGTGGACACAGGGAACAGATGGAACTTGCTGTGGCCTCTCGCATGGAGCAGTGTGGCCTCGACAGCCATGAGGACAGTGGCCTCTCTCTGACTAGGAATTGGCTGCTGCTGGGCCCCATTCTGTGGTTTGTTCTTAGGGGCCCAGGAGGAGGGGTGGGCTCGGTTCTCCAAGAACCATCTTCTTAAGGGACCCTCCCCCCATTCCCCCGGCAGTAGTACTATTCCCTGGCCAGCTCCTCTCAGCCAGAGCATGGGCAGAAGCTTGTCTTTTATTGGTGGCAGTACGTGGGTTACTTAGGAAAGTAAGTGTGGCAGTTCCAGAAACCAGAACATTTCTCTGACCACATCACCAGTACGAAAGTGTCCTGTGACCAAGCAAAAATGTGGTCTACACAATGTTAGTGTGACGTGTATGCTCTTCTTTCTTTGAGGGGCAAGGGAGTACATAACTTTTCTCAGAGGAGAACTCTCTACCCAAAAGAGCTTTAGTCTTCCTCTGCAAGGGGGTTTTATTTTTAACAGCAAAGAAAATACTTTCACCTTTTTTCCAGGTAGGTTTCTTTGTAGCTCTACAAACACTTATTTTCTCCAGTATTACAGGCCCTACTCGTGTATAACTGAAGTTGTAATACTCCTTTGGGAGAAGGTGGGAGACTGTCTAGAGAGGAGCCAAATGTGGGCAAGTATCTGCTGGCTGGTTTGGGCCAAAAGAGAAAAGCAGAAGGGAAGGTGGACTTTTGAGGCTTTGAGTCTAGGTCTCTAGGATATATGATGACAGTGCTAATGATGGAATGGAAAAGAAATTCTATTAAAAAGGAGGAGGTCTATTTGGAGCACTCTTTATGCTGTTCTGGACACCACTGAACATTGCTCTGGACAGTGGGGCGGTAGAGAAGGGCCTGTGGCCTTTGGTGACGTTAGACTTTTCTGGCCCAAAGTGTTCTTAGAATGTAAAGAGCCATTGCCACCTGTTCCAGCCTCCCTCCTCAGAGGCCTCAGAGCAGGGTGTTTTAAAGAAGCATTATGTGAACAATAGACACACAGGAAGAATACTAAGTGGCCCTTTTTTTCGTTAGTGCCATCAGGTTGATTCTAACCCCTGGCACCCCTGTGCACAGCAGAGCGGAACCCTGCCCTGTCCCTCTGTGCCATCCTCTCACCTTCCAGCGTTGTATCAATGTTCTGCTGCTAAATCACAGGGTTTTTATGGACCATTTTTTCAGAAGTGGGTGGCCAGGTCCTTCTTCCTAGTCTCTCTAGTCTGGAAGCTCTGCTGAAACCTGTCTACCATGGGTGACCCTGCTGGTGCTTGAAATACTGGAAGCAGAGCTTTCAGCATCACAGCAACACGCAGCCCCTATAGTATGACAGCCTACAGATGGGTGGTGTGGTTCCTTGACCAGGACACAAATCCGGACTGCAGTGGGGAGAGCACCAAATCTTAACCACTAGACCATGAGGGCTGGCTCCTAAATGGCCTACATGACATTTTATATAGTTGTCAGGAGTCACTAAGTCATCTGTGTGTGTGTTTTTCTCTTAGGTTCATTTTCCAGACACTGAAAGAGCAGAATGGCTAAATAAGGTAAGAATAGAATATACTAAACACCAGATATCAGTGGGCTAGAGGATGAGATGCCATCTTTCCATATTTGGGAATTGAAATGTTGACAACATGGGAACTCATTTGGACTTAGTGGATTTGGCTTCTGCTCCCGAAAGAACTCAATCATAACTGATAGGTTAACTTTCCTTTTCTAAACAGTGAAAACTGTCTTTGACATGAGAAAGTTAATGATGTATTCACAGTTGTATCTTTGGCCTTGTGTCTTCTCTCCTGATCAGCTAGTGCTCAAATCTATTTTATAATAATAATAAGTGAAAACTTTGGTAACATTATGGAGAGGGAATTAACTCCCAAGAAACCTACTAATAGATAATAATCATTTATTTTTTTAGAAAAAGGTTATGTTTTTAGATCAGTGTACTTTGAAGTAGATCTCTTTCATCTCTATATTTTATATATCCTTAGAGCTATATAGTAAAAACTGATGTAGATAATGATTACCTTACAGCACTGGAAGTTAGTTCATCATTAAAGAAAACTCATTAATGTTTATTAAGATCTATACAGTTTTAGAAAGTTTTTCCTAATAAGTTGAAACCACAAGATTTTCGTATCTTGTAGCAATCATGAAATGTGTTTATAAGCTTAAAGAGAATATTTTACCAAAATAACTAATTCCTGCAACTATTGGTTAATCAATAATCTATTGTAATACATTTTTGAAATTTAGATCGTGTTGATTTTGTATAACAAAAAGCACCCTCTCTTTAGTGATCAAAAATTCTGGTAAACTATAATACAGGCATAATTTTTCATGATGACTTAAGTACATTATGTATTACAACATTTTGTTTAACATGAGTTCTTTCTCCTTTCCAGACTGTAAAACATATGTGGCCTTTTATTTGCCAATTTATAGAGAAGTTGTTTCGAGAAACCATAGAACCAGCTGTGCGGGGAGCAAACACCCACCTTAGCACCTTTAGTTTCACGAAAGTTGACATGGGTCAGCAGGTCAGTTCTTCTTAAGTATCTTTACTTGTGCACACAATAGGATTGCTGTGAAAACTCTTAAACTACTTCAAATTATTTTCTAGAGAAAATTGTTCCCTAGGAAGTTCGGGTGGGTTGTCTGCAGCTCCCCTGAGGTTCTGCCTCCCACATGGGATGCCCTCTGCTGGTCTGTCAGTCAGGGAGTCCTCATCCTGCCCTCATCCGTCCACTGTGCTCTTCTGGCCAGTTTAGGTCTATTGGGTGGTTTCCCTTCGTTCCAACGTGTCTTTCTACCTCACATTCTTCTGTCAGAATTACCTGTTTTCCACAATCCATGCTATTAGAAATGGAGTCTATGTGAATTCACACTAAAGCTTCAGTAGTTGAAAACAAGCTTAAGGTGTTTAGCCCTCCAGACTTTTAAAAACTATTGAGAACTCCAGTGCCAGCCTTTTAGGCATCGTAGTAATGACATACGTGAAGGAAAAGATGGATTTTGTTATTGGAATCCTCCTATATACAAAGGAAAACTCCTAGTTCCTAATATTACTTCTAGTGAAAGCCTCAAGACTATATCCAAATTAGTTGATCAGGGGCTGGCCCCATGGCCGAGTGGTTAAGTTTGCACCCTCTGCTTTGGCGGCCCAGGGTTTTGCTGGTTCGGATCCTGGGTGTGGACATGGTACCGTTCATCAGGACACCCTGAGGCGGCATCCCACATGCCACAACTAGAAGGACCCACAACTAAAATATACAACTATGTACTGGGGAGATTTGGGGAGAAAAAGCAGGTAATAAATAAATAAATAAATAGATCATGGCAAGTTTCCCTGTTTATTTTTTTAAGTCAGTGTTTATAATAATTAGCAACAAAGGTAGCATTTTCTTTTATTGACGTATAATTAACATATAGCATTATATTAGTTTCCAAGGTGACACTATTTTCTATGCCTAATAAAAATTCAGAGTGCAGTAGTACTTTTAAACATACACACCCACACAGTTTACACCCGTTTGGTACATGTACGGCAGAGCCAGAAAACACCTCACCATACACTGTGTTCAGATGTCTTTGCTTCAGCCCATCAGGGTTTTAATAAATGTGGCTGAGGAGTGTCTGACCTGGTTGCTGTGTTGTGTTTGTCACCCCAGGTGAGTGTCAGTGCCCCCAGGCTCATTCCCATCCCACACCCTCCAGTCCCTGGGTCACCTTCCCCCATCAAAGGCGACATTCTGCATGCAGAGAATGCTCTGTCTCATCTCCGATTACTCAGAACCTGGGTCTCCAGTGCAGGCACATGCATTGCACTTAGCTGTGTTGTGCAGGTGATTTTTCCTCTTGGCTGTGAGGTCTCCACATATGTTACAAGCCAGGACTGTGGCCATCCTGTTGTTGGAGTGCACAAGTGCCTGCCCAGGAGGCCCCTGTGACACTTACCTTCAATATTTACTTTACCTTCTGTAACTAAAATGATAACAACAGATGGGGAAGCACAATTACAGGTTAGGATACTGTGTGACTATGGAACAGGGGCTGCACACTTTCTGGAAAGGGCCAGATGGTAAATATTTCAGCTTTTGATGGCCACATGCCTTTGAGGCATGTTTTTCTTCTGCCCCTCCCACCTCTTCTTTTACAACCCTTTAAAAATGTAAAAACCATTCTTAGCCAAAGGCCAGATTTAGCCCGCAGGCCCCTAATGTAAGGTATGTTCATGTTTGTGGAGATTGAGAATTCTAACCCCAGCTGGATTTGTTTTAGGAAGAATTACATTCATGCCCTATTACATGCACTTGGATTTTCATGCTAACTAAATAAGATCATCATTGGAGAGCAGGAGAATATTAAGAGGAGTGCTGATTCAGTAAAGGTAGCTTGGCATTATTATTAACTGGAGTGACGTCTTACAAGAGCAGGTAAACTTGAGCTATATGATGAAGGAACAGCTGAGCAGGGTGTGCACAGCCCTGAGCAGGGCATCTTGTCCGCTTCATGTGCTGGCTGCGTCCCTTGGGTAGCTGGCTTCCATTGCCCTCAGGTCTTTGTCTTTCAGTCGTCGGGAGTGAGGTGGGCCTCCCGCTTCTCCTAATGTAACATGTCGTCTAAGTGGAAGAAAGGAGGATTATCTAATGCAAACATTTAAACTAGTCACTACATCACCTATGCCCCATTTCCACTTAGTGATGTAGTGAGTTGACTGTGTTCTCTAAGTCTGTACATGTCTGAGCTAGTATCATCAGGGAAGAGCCCGGGAACTTGGCATAGTAGGAAATGAAGACTCTCAAATAAAGACTTAGAGTTTAATCCTACAGCTAGTTGAGGGGTAAGATTGCAGGACACCCAAACTGTCAGAGTAAACACTAGTTCTCTAAAGATTGGGTATTTTTCAGCTTGAGTTTTTAATGCTTAGGTGTGGTGTTGAGAACTTTCTTAGAAGGGATCTCAAATTGATAAATGGGAGAAGGTTTTGAGCAATGTTGTAACTGGACCCTTGAAATATAGCATTTGTTACAATCTGTGTTTTCTTTTTACAGAGTAATTTGATTCTGACCCTGTATCATGTATTAGGTGTTGAAATTATACTTACAGCTAGTATTTTTGATTCACTCAAAAGCCTCATTTTTGTGAAAATCTTAAGTGCAAAATTACAAGACATTAAAGAAAAAATGAAAGGAAGTTATATTTCGAACAATGTAGTAAGGATGGAATAGAAGGAAAGGATCAGAAAATTGGAAGAGAAAGAAGGGCTAAGGGCTTGGACAGGAGCAAAACTGCATCACACGTGAGCTGACAAAGCAGGTCTTCTGTCACTAAGAACTCACTGTGCGCCAGGCAGTGCCTGACTTCCTTACGTTCCTCATGTCCTTTAATTTTGCTGTAATCTCATGCAAGAGATACCATTATTACCCATATTTTACATATGAGACTGAGGAACAAAGGTTAATAACTTGCTGAAAGTCAACAGCTAGTGTGCTGTGAAAGCAGTATTCTAACTCTCATAGCCTGATGCTAACACTCACTCTCTTCATCTCTACGTGCTATTATAGGGTTTGATTTTTCTTACCCTCCCTTCATTTTAAATTAAGCCACTTCTTGTTTCAGCCTCTCAGGATCAATGGTGTTAAGGTGTATACCGAAAATGTGGACAAAAGGCAAATTATTATGGACCTTCAGATTAGGTAAGTTTTTATTTGTATCATAGTTAATGACATAGAATGTCACTTAGCTATACCCATAAGGTGGAGGATATAATGAGCACACTTCTTACCTACTGTTTTTGTGGAATTTGACTAAATTGTTGAAGACCCAAATTTATTTACTTTCTGGATCTCAGTTCCTAATAGCCTAGAAAACTGCTAGTCATAAAACATGTTATGAATAAAAGAATAAATAAAAGAAATTAAATAAATAAAAGAAATTAAAGGCCGTACAAGAAAACTACAGACTCATATCCCTTGTGAACATGGATGTCAATCCTCAACAAAATACTAGAAAACTGATTTCAGCAACATATTAAAAGGATTATACGCCATTACGAAGTAGGATTTATTCCGGGATTTATTCCCAGGATTCAAGGATTGTACAACATATGAAAATCAGTGTGATACACCACGTTAATAGAGTGAAGGGAAAAAACACATGATCATCTCAGTTGATACATTTGACCAAAAAAAGCATTTGACGAAATTCAGCACTCTTCCCTGATAAAAACACTCAGCAAACTATGAACAGAAGGAAGCTACTTCAGCATAATAAAAGACATATATGAGAAACTCATATATAGTCAGTGTTAAAAGACTGAAAGCTTTTCCTCTAAGATCAGGAACAAGACAGGGATGCCCGATTTCACCACTTCTATTCAACATGGTACCGGAAGTTCTTGCCAGATCAATTAGGTAGGAAGAAAAAGAAAGAAAAGGTATCCAAGTTGGAAAGGAAATTATCTCTGTTTACAGATGATCTGATCTTATATGTAAGAAACCCTAAAAGATTCCACCAAAAAAACCTCATAGAACTAATGAACAAATTCAGTAAAGTAGCAGGAAACAAAATCAACACAAAAGAAATTAATTACATTCTATACACTGACAATGAACAATTCAAAAAGGAAATTAAGAAAACAATTTCATTTACAATAGAATCAAAAAGAATAAAATGCTTAGTAATTAACTTAACCAAGTAGATGAAAGACTTGTACAATGAAAACTATAAAACAGTGCTGTGAGAAATTAAACAAGACATAGATAAATGGAAAGACATCCCATGTTCATGGATTAGAAGGCTTAATATTGTTAAATGTCAACACTAAAAGCAATCTGTAGATTCAGTGTGATCCATATAAACATATATTTGATAAGGGATTGATATGCAGGATATATAGAGAACTCCTCCAACTCAACAGCAAAAAACCCAATTAAAAATGGGTAAAGGACTTGAATAGACATTTCTCCAAAGCAGACATACAAATGGACAATAGTCACCTGAAAAGATGCTCAACCTCACTAATAATCATGGAACTGCAAATCAGAACTACAATGAGATACCACCTTGCACCCGTTGAATGGTTCCTATCAAGAAAACAGAAATCAACAACTGTTGCTAGGCATGTGGAGAAGTTGGAGCCCTTGTGTACTGTTGGTGGGAATGTAAAATGGTGCAGCTGCTGTGGAAAGCAGTATAGAGGTCCCTCAGAAAATTAAACATAGGACTACCGTGTGACCCAGCAATTCCACTTTTGGATATACACCCAAAAGAATTGAAAACAAGGTCTCAAGAGAAACATTCGTCCCTGCTTATCTGCAGTTACACTTTCCATAGTTTCAGTTACCCATGGTCAACTATGGTCCAAAAATATTAAGTGGAAAATTCCAGAAGTAAACAATTCATAAGTTTTAAGTTGCATGTCATTCTGAGTATCATGATGAAATCTTGTGCTGTCCCTCCCAGGACAGGAGTCATCCCTTTGTCCAGTGGATCCATGCTACATATACCACCCACCCATTAGTTACTTAGTAGCCCACTCAGTTAACAGATCGACTGTCACAGTATCACAGTGCTTGTGTTCAAGTAACCCTTATTTTACTGAATAATGGCCCAAAAGCACAAGAGTAATGTTGTTGGCAATTTGGATATGCTTCCTGCATCCCCTGTGAGCCTAATAACATAGCTTTGTACGCAGTGACTGCTGAAATGTGTTGACTTAGGACACAGCTCAGAGTGTTTCTTTTTTTTTATCCTTGAGTAAGAATCATTTTATTTTATAATGTCTTTGAGCTTGTAAAGTATGTTAATATAGTCAATGTACAGAGTTGATACAAATTACCTTTATTTTAGAAAGGCGCATAGAATGTCTATAATGATCTATTATGGAAAAATCTGCATCTTTAAAATAGTTGGTACTACTGCAAAAACTGTTGGCATCAATAGAATAAAAGAGAAAGCCCCACTTATGTCTTCACTTCAGCTGTGCCCTAGAAGGACTGTCCACCAGGCTGGTCATGAGCATCATGAAGATGGAAACCTTGTTTTCTTGTTCCAGCACTGAGGGAAGATTTCATACGCATTAAGTGAGCATTTGGATGAGTCAGCTCCTGGACGCCATTTTGGAGATGCTGCCTGGCCTTTGTGGATTTAGCAGTCATATCAACATTTGCAAATTATGCTGCTCAGATATTTATGTCTCTAGAAAAAATCTGCATTCTACTTTTTTTGTATGTTCCAGACAAGGACCTTAACTAATGGGCAGTAGAGATGGGGAAGGAGTAATTGAAAGATATTAGGAAATAAAAAAGATCAAGTCTTAGAGTGAAGAAAGGGAAAATTTTGAGGTAGTTTTGTAACAGGGTATTGGTGATTTTACCAACTAGATAGAGAATCATGCTCGATGAGAAGAATCTGTAGGTATTTGCTTTAACACCAAGACAATAAATACCAGAAGAATTTCATCCTAGGTGCTTTTTGTTAGTGTTCTGTTCATGTGCTAAGACACTCTCTTTCCAGCATTTATCAAACTGCCCCCAGACATTCTCAGGCAGGAGCACAATGTCCTGCTTCCAGAATCGAGGGTGGGAGTCAAATCATACAGACCCCACTCAAAATATAGTTGACCTTCCATAGTCATATTAAAAATAGATGCAAGCCTTACATTCAGCATCACACTATGTTCATGTTTGTTTTTTATTAGTAATTTAAATGTCTTGGGAGTGCAAACTGGCGCAGCCAGTATGGAAAGCAGTATGGAGTATCCTCAAAAAATTAAGAATAGATCTACCATACGATCCAGCTATCCCACTGCTGGGTGTTTATTCAAAGAACTTGAAAACACAAAGGCATAAAGATACCTGCACCCCTGTGTTCATTGCAGCATTGTTCACTATAGCCAAGACTTGGAAGCAACCTAGGTGCCCATCAAGGGACGAATGGATAAAGAAGATGTGGTATATATACACAGTGGAATACTACTCAGCCATAAGAAATGATGAAATCCGGCCATTTGTGACAACATGGATGGTCTTTGAGGGTATTATGCTGAGTGAAATAAGTTAGAGGGAGAAAGTCAAATACCGTATGATCTCACTCATAGGTAGAAGATAAAAACAACGATAAACACACACATAGCAATGGAGATTGGATTGGTGGTTACCATAAGGGGAGGGGGTGGGGGCCAAAAGGGATGATTAAGCTCACATGTGAGGGGATGGACTATAATTAGTTTTTGGGTGGTGAACATGATGTAATCTACACAGAATTAGAAATATATTACAGTGTACATCTGAAAGCTATATATTGTTGTAATCCAATGTTACTGCAATTAAACAAAAGTTAAAAAAATAATAATTTAAATGACTTAATTGTTGAGTAAAATTGATGCCCCAAACAGGTGCATCATTTCTAACCTTTGACATCACAGAGCCCTGTAGCGCACTGATAGTTTTTTCATGACTGAGGAGCATGGGCACAGAATTTACTTGTGATGAAATATAATCTAAACTTTATATATTAAACAAACATAGTGTTTATAAAACAAATGGAAACTACATTCCATCAAGAGCCTGTTCCAGAAGTTGCACCTTGGAAGTGACATTTATAATGGGCCCTAAGCCCACTCAGCAGGCCTCCCATCAGTGTGGCTGTGTCGCATCTGGTGGCAGTGACGCTGTAACCTGGCAGTAAAAGACTTTGCCTCCACTCTGGTCTTGGTTGCTTTATATCATTTTATTCAGATTTTATACTTGCAGGTCTGTGGTGATGAAGAGAATGTAATCCAGAACTCTTTCTTTGCTAGTTTTGTAGGAAATTGTGAGATTGATTTGGAGATCAAGCGATATTTTTGTAGAGCGGGTGTGCAAAGTATACAGGTAAGGTTTTTTTACACTTCTGTCTTCTAAAATTTTCTGTGCTCTATTCAAAAAAAATTGTGAAGTTTTTATTAACTCAGAATTTCTTTGAAGTTAAGTTTTTGTTTGTAGGTTATACATGAGGAAAACCTGTAGTCAAATGCTCAGAAGTCGCTAAGACAATCCTACATCCTCTTTGCATCGGTCAGTGGTTTCTGGAATTGTTTTCTGTTACATGTTTCGGTTTCCGTTTGAATTTAGATCCATGGCACAATGCGGGTGATCCTGGAACCATTGATTGGAGACATGCCCTTGGTGGGAGCGTTGTCTGTCTTCTTTCTTAGGAAGCCAGTAAGTCAATGTTTATTTTGTTCTTGTCTTCCCACTCACTGACAAGAATATGTACATAACGAAGAGTATATAAAGTGCAGAAAGAGTTCTCTCCTTAACTCACTCTTTTCCCTTTCTGATGCATGAATCCTATGAGTGTTTTCATACCTTTTTGTGCCTTAATGGAGGGTTCATCTCTTTTGGTAGACAACTTTTCTTCTTGATTATAAAAATAGTATATTTGTTACAGAACATTTGAAAATCTAGACTTTTTTAAAAGTGTAGGCTGTACCTTGCCATTCAGCACCTATCACTGAGTATGATTTATAGATATTTGCTCATTTGATCCTCATAGCTCTGTAGATACATACTGTCTCAGTGTTGTTGTACTCACCAGGAACTGAGAGTCTAATCTGTTTTAGTCGTTCCTATATAGACACCCCTTCACCTAGGCTCCTCCCCTTGCCTGACTCCTCCTCCTCCTCCTCCTCCCCCCTCCCTTCCCTGGGCTCCTCCTCCCAGGCTCGTCCCCTCACCGAGCCTCCTCCCCCTCACCTGGTGGCTCCTTTCCTGCAAGGCTCCTCACCTAGGCTTCTGCAATCTCTGATAGGCTTCCTGCCTTGGCCCTGTCCTCAGTAGACTTCACCACCAGCGTATCTTCCCAAGGTGAAATCTGACCCACCAGAGGTTGTCTCTCACTTGCAGACAATCATCGTGGTCTAGGTGGGGTCTCTCCAGCCTCATTTCCTGGCACTGCCCCATGAGCATCTTGAGTTCCAGCAACAGGGAAGAATTACAGTCAGGCCTTTGTGTTATCCTTTCCTGGGACACAGGTGGTCAGGTTTCCTCCTTGCTCCCATGGCACCCGTATAGTCCTGTGGGGTGTAGCACACTTCTCATTAACTCTTTGAAAGCCACAACTATATCTGTCCCAACACCTTTGAGTAAATGTCTGATGGATCAATTCATCTTTTTCTCAAATGTCTCTTCACAATATGCCATTTTTGTACCATTAATATCAGGTATAGTTTAAAATGGGAATATTAGTTTGTATAATTTGATTCAAATAACTTAATACAATTTATTGTTCTTGGGTTTTTAAAGTATGTGTTTGTCTAAACCAAACTACAGGTGGCCTTTTTTTTGTATAAAAACACAAGAAAAATTAACTGTCATCACTTTCTATTGCCACTAAAATTATTATTCTCATTTGCTTTTTTTGCTTATAATGGGCTTATTTTGAGTGTATTTTAACTACACAAAACATGGTAAAATTCAAAAGCTATTAAGGAACCTCTTTGTTAAATTTTAATATATTAAAATTTTGAGAAGAGATCCATAAAAGATTTTAAATTCATGGATTCTTTTTTACATACAAGTTATTTAAAAGCCAGTATGTGTAAGAAACTTCCTTCATTAATGAGTATAAAAAACTAATCTTTAGCAAATTGCTAAGTACTTTTAACTTATAGGGAATTTTTAACAATTTAAAAAAAAGCCTGGGGCCAGCCCAGGGGTGCAGCAGTTCAGTTCGCACATTCTGCTTCAGCGGCCTGGGGTTCGCTGGTTCGGATCCCGGGTGCGGACCTATGCACGGCTTGCCGTGCTGTGGCAGGCGTCCCACATGTAAAGTAGAGGAAGATGGGCACAGATGTTAGCTCGGGGCCAGGCTTCCTCAGCAAAAAGAGGAGGATTGACAGCAGATGTTAGCTCAGGGCTAATCTTCCTCAAAGAAAAAATAAAAGCCTGGGGTTTTTTTCAGTTCAGAATGTAACAAAATCCAAATCTTTAAATCTTCCTCCAAAGTTAGTAATACTCTTCCTTAGTATGGATCTCCCATAGGTGTATTTACTTTAAAAGTAACCTTATAATAATAACTTCCAAGTGAAATGTTAATGCTGAGAAAAGAAGGATGAGTCTGAAAAGTTCAGAATCATTCATTTCCTTATATGGTGAGTAAAGTCACTAAACATATGCTTCAGAGAAGGGAATTTTTTTCAGTTACTTTCAACTGGAAAATATGAGAATAGAATTCACTGCTGACTGCCAAGTAATTCTTCCTCACTGCAGTGAAAAATACAGCTATAAAGATTTTGAGGGTTTTTGACTATTCGGATGATTTAGAAGCATAGTGCCACAGACACTTATGGAAACCTTTACACATTATTTTTCTGCTTGTTGGTTTGTTTAGATTAGTTTTGATAATGTGCTCCTTGTTAAAAAAACTAAACTAAAAATTTCTGAAGTGATGAACTTTTGGAGCACAGTATAATATGATGGTTAAATGACAGTCTTGGGTGTCATAAACCTGGTTTTGCACTCCTGGTTCTTTCTCTTCTTACTGTGTGGTTTGAATAACTTATTTAATTTCTCTAAGCCTCTGTTTCCCCATCTGCAACATGGGAATTACACTAACACCTCCCTCATAGGATTAAATGTGAAGATTAAATAACAGTGGATGTAAAACACTTAGTACCAAGCTGGCACATAGTAAGTCCTCAGATTTTTAAGAAATTAAATATTTTCCTAACGTAGGTTTAGCATTCTGGTGGAGTCCTGACACCAGAGATCAAGTATTGGTAAGCACAAAAGCTTGGATGAAACTTCTGGTAAGAACCAGGACAAAAGCTTGGATGAAGATTCTGATAAGAACCAGAACAAGTCAGTGTCTGCCCTTGGGTGTGTCCCAGGGAATGGGTGGCCCCACACCCAGGCTAAATTGCCTCTGGCATGCACACTCGTATGGTGTTTCTGAATCCTTAGGTCTTTTTTAGATCTGTCCCAGGAGTATGGATTAGACTAGAGTGAAGCCAGGAGGTCTTTTCCAGAACTTCTCCAGGAGATGGTCTGAGTTGCTCTGAGTGTGTTTATGCTAAGGAGGTCCTCCCAGCCAGCAGAGGACATGCCTCCTGAGTCTTTGAACTGCGGATTATCTTTCTTCATCTGTAAAATGGAAATAACATCTTCCTTTTAGAGTAACTGTGAGAAAAAATTGAATCCTGTTAGCCAGGACTCCAGCAATTGAAGTACCTTAGGCAAAGGAGGGAAAAAATGAAAGGTTTTACTTAAAAATAAACATAGCGTATATTGATATCTCATTAAATCTGTGCAGGAGTTGCAGTTCAGTGTCAGGAACAGACTGGAATGAGGAATTCGAGAGCCACTGTGACTGTCTCCCACCCATGCCTGTGATGCCTTTGCTCCATTCTCTCTCTCTCAGACCAGCTTCCTCTGGTCCCTTAATCCACATGCCAGAAACATAGCTTACAGCACTCCCAAGAGGCAGGGAGTCTTCCTCTCTTCCCTTCATCCTTCTTCTCCCTACCCAGCTGGGTCAGACCAGCCAGGAGTAGGAAAGTTGCAGCGTTTGTTAAGGCTCCCAGAAGCCAACTCCTACAACCCTGCGTAAAAGGCAGCAGTGAGGTGGAGAGGCAGGACTGTGCAGACAGACTGAAGAGGATCCCAAACTTAGACCACACGTGAAGCCACCAGGAAGCTTTGGGGATATTTATCCTGTTAGGTGTTTTCTGAGTTTCTGGGATCTATGGTTTGATATCTTTCATTATTTTGGACTGTCTTGCTCCACCCCCAGTGGTGGGGACAGGGGAGCTGTCTGTCATCCTTTCCGTCCTGGGTCTCGGGCCTGGTGCTCTTTCAGTAACCATACACCCTCTCTTTGCCTGTGTCTTTCGTGGGTCTTGTGCAGGAGAGAGTTTGCACACTCACCCCCAGCACTATGGGATCTCTAATGGTCTGGGCCTGTGACTGTGTCCTACCCTCCCCAAGGCATAGAGGGTATTTTCTCTTCTTTTCCTCTCCACGAGATGCAATGGGCCTTCCCCTGTGCTTGCTTCCCCAGTGGCTTCTGTTCCTTATGGTGGAAGGTGGGGCTGTGTCTTTCTTGCAGCAGCTGCCCCTCACCAGCCTCAGCCCTACAGGAAGTGTTCTCCCTGGTCTCCAGTGTTTGCAGCGACCACATACTGCTCGGTTCACCAATTGGATTACACGTGCCCTGTGTCTGTGGATTTCAAAGGGTTTATTTTGGCTCACGCACACTTGGTCTTTAGCAGTTAGGATCTAGCTAGAGTCATCTCACCTGCCCTGTAGTGGCCTCCTCCTCCCCTTGGAGCTGCCTTTAAGGAAGGGTTTCAGGCAGGCTGGTGGCCCTGTCACTTCCGCCCTCCCATGTGTTCAAGAGTGATGCTCTTTCCAGTTTTCTACATCCCAGTTGGTAGCTGGAAGTCCCAGGAGCTTTAAAACATAAAAACACTCTTGACCTTTACCACCAGCCCAAATTGACTAATTCAAAAACTCTGGAAAAGGGTGGGAGCCACAAGTCTGTATTTTTACCAGACCTCCCAGGTGATTATATTCTGTGACCCGTGGAACTTAATGCACTTAGGATACCCAGCATGTAGCAAGTGCTGGTATAAACAGTTGCTGTTGTTGAACTATAAATTTTACTACATCCATCACACAGTGCATTATGGAAACGCAGAGAGAAGGGCATGTCTGTGCTTTTCATGAAATGCATGGATATGTTCACAGCCCACTTGAAAGGTGACCACATTACTCCTTCCGTTTCTTATAGAAGAGCTGTAGCAGCCCACAGAGGTGATTTCCTGTCCTCTGGACACCTTTCACTAGCTCTTCAGTTTCCCAGAGCAGAGACTTTAGTCATCCAGATGGGGTGGTTGAGGGGGGCGTGAGCGGTACTAACTTTAGTGGCTTTTCCAAAGCTGTGGCTTATCCTTTCCCTTCTCAGGTGTTCCTCCCTGTGTCCCTGTTCAGACTTTGCAGACTGAGTTTTCACACCTCTCTCTCTCACACACACACACGCTCATTCTCTCACTCATACCCATTCTCACACTCACACACTTTACACACTTGTGGTCATACATTCACTTACTCTCACACATACACACTTGTTCTCATACACATTCTCACATTCACTCACACTCATTCTCACACACACTTGTTCTCTCACGCTCATTCCCTCACACCTTCATACTCGTCCTCACATTCACACATTCTCACTCACTCATACTCATTTTCACAGTCACACTTTTTTTTCTCTCTTGCTGCCTCCTGCTCTATCCACTCTCGTTGCTTCCTGGTCCCCAGCCTCCCCTGTGCTCAGAGACATGCCAGCTCCTGCGTCAGGGCCTTAGACGTGGGCCCTCTTCTCCTGGAGCCTTCTTTCTTACATTCAGATCTCCTCTTTTCAAGCCCAGCTGAGTCCTGTCCTTCCAAAAATTCTGCCTTTGCCTCCCTGGTGTTTTCTTTCTTTGACCTTGGGTAGCATTTAAATGTATCGCATCATTTTGACAAGAATCATCTGAGCCAGCCCTCTATCCTTGAAGAGTTCCATAATCTTTGAGTCCCTTCCAGGTGACCTGCCCTTTGACAGGGCCTCTCATTAATCTTTGAGTGTTTCCTTAAGCTTTCTGATTCAACAAGATCCCCCAGGCTCATCTTAATAGTTTTTGCCCCAGGCCTGGAATCAGCTGTTTCTTCAAAATCCCTGGTTACTTTGAGTGAAAAATGTGTTTAGAGATCATAGTCAGGGTGCTAGGGGGTGCTGATTGCCCCTGGGTTGTCATTGCTTCTAGGCCTGTTCTTTTAAAGGGCCTATTGATATTTGCAATGCAAATTTATGTCTCATTTCTCTTAGACCAAAAAGTCTTGCTCTTTTGGGACTTTTTTAAATTGTTGCTTTTTAGTTGTGGTCTACCTAAAAGAATCTTGACTCTTCTAATTCATATTTATTTATAAACCATCTACCTCTCAAAGAGATTTGAGCGGTTGCTATATAGGTTATTGAGATCATGCAATTTCTCCTAGCATTTATTCTACAAATATAATGCACAGGTAATTTTGTTATGTGTAATATGCATTTTGATAGGAAAACAGGGTTTCTAATCAATGGTTTTTACCCGTCCACATCCACTTAATGGAATCTTAGCCAACTATTTAAGAATTATTCTAAGATAAATACCCACTGAAAAAATGAACAAAAAAAATTATAAATGTTGAATGAGTGGGTGGAACATGTTCACTAATGTCAGGAAAATACAAATTGAAACTTATAAAATACCATTTTTTAACTGCCAGATGAACTGATTTTTAATATCTATATTTGGTGAAGGTATAAAGAAAGAACGTTTTCATGCACTTTTGGTGGGATATAAATTGGTACAGTATTTTTTTAGAGCAATTAGGTGGTATCTATCAACATAAAAAGTGAACGTTTATCTTCGACCATAACTTCTACTTTTTGAATACTGGTCTGCATGTGCATACCAGGACATGGCATGTAAAAAGATATTTACTGAATCATTACTTATAATAAAAGAGAAATTATAAATATTCCAAGTGGCCATCAATAGGAGGATGGGTATGTAAATTATTATATGATTTTACTGGTGAAAACTATGACATTACAAAAAACAAAGCAAAAACAGAGGTGGGTGTCTAAATGCCAGCACAGGACGATGACCTTGATTTTTACAAAGTGAAATACAAGGTGTGGGGCAGTGTTATGTACTGACCCATTTTGTTTATAAAGAAACAAACCTGTATGATCTGATTTGATAACTGGAAGTAATTTTGATACTTCGTGTTTTTGCCCTTTTTTTAACACAGCTTGTAGAAATTAACTGGACAGGACTGACTAATCTTCTTGATATCCCTGGACTGAAGTAAGTATTATGTCATGTCCTATGGTCAGCTTGTTGATGGTGTTGTAATGTGCATTTACACTGTTATGAAAACTACACAGAACTGTTAAGGCCTGTCTCTACCAGGCGGAATCTGTGCCTTCCCAGCAGGCTCTCATATGAGACTCGAATGGAGAGACTGTCGTGGGCTCTGTTCTCATAACCTGCCTGAGACTGCTGGGATCCAAATGAGCTAGAGTAGAGTGGTTTTAGGACTTTAGACTGAGTCACTCGCCTTTCATTTTACTTTCATTCAACATGAGGCGTGTTTTGAGTTTTGTTATTTTAGAAAACTAACAGCCTTTTAGTATCTAAATTAATTTTTAAATTTGGTATTTATTATTTTTCCAGAAAAATAAGCTTGAAAAGCGAATATATGTTTCGAAACTAGCCCTCTCTGGGTTCTTTTCAAGTTTTGCTACCCCCTCCCCCTTCTGCCTTTTGTGCCTGTAGCCACTCCTCCTTGGAGGGTGGATGCCAGTTCTGGGCCTAAGAATGTGTGGGATGGCTCCAGGAGTCTGGGTGGGCAAGGTGAGAAGCCCGAAGTCCCTGCAGCACATGAGGGGAGTCCTTCATTCCCCTGGACCAATCTAGTATCTAAAACATGAGCACGGTTTCCCACAATAAGCATATGAAAACATTAGAGTGCATCCCTACTGTGAGAGAAGTGAGATCTTCCTACTTGTGTCACAATCCCCCTCACATGGTGGATGGTGACTGTGGAAAACCTGAGTCACTTCCAAGCGTCAGTCTGAGACTACAGCCTCAAAACCTGCTTTTGCTGGTTTTACTATTGTATTCAAAGGTTAAAATATAATTACTTACTGGTTAAAGTTACATATGTTTCTAGTGGGTACTTTGCTAATTTGTGAATTTTTTTTTCCCCTAAAATAGCTTAGAAATTAAATTATGAAAGCCTTCGTTTCGGTCTGTTTTTCCTATTCCTATGTATTTGTTTATGCCCCTGAAATGGCCATTAGAAAGAACTTTGTTTCATTATCAGGGAAAAATTAGGACTTTAATAAATTAAGGCATGTTCATAATAATAAAAGTCTTTCTTAGGTACTGTGGTTTACTGGATATAGAAAAATACTGTTATCTTTAAAAGATCTTTGGAAAGAAAGGACAATTTAAAAAAAGATTTGTTAAAGTGTTCATTAGAGTTCTTGGTTGCAAACAACAAACGCAACTCAAGTGGTCTTAAATAAGTGAGTAAATAAATACTGTTTTTTAAAGACAGTTTATTCATTCATCCAACAGATAGGTATTGATTGCCTGCTATGAGCCGGGACAGTTCTTAGTGCTGGGGTGTGACTGTGAACACAACAGCCACACACCCACTCTCATGGAGCTCGCAGTCCAGTGGCTCACTCCTGCCTCCTGTCACTGGGTGACTTCAGACACAGACAGGTGTTGGTGTTAAATGACTGTCCAGCTCTTGGCTCTGCTTTTCTCTGTGTGGCTTTGTTTTCAGGCAGGGTTTTGCTATGAACTAGCAGTTTCTAGCTTCTCTTCTGTAAGCTTAGCAACCTTAGTCAAAAAAGAACCGTTTCCACTAGTTCCAGCAGAAGTTCGAGGGTTGAATTCTGGTTGTCCACCCATCCTGGACAAATTCCTGTGATTCTGATGATCAGGTTTGGGTCTTATGCTCACCACTTGAGAAGGCAGAGAAATGCTTGAACAAACCCCAGTGAATGGGGGTCCCCCAAAGGAAGAACTTTCACAGAAGTAGGGGGAATGGATACTGGACAAATCTCTGTTGTCATTTAGGGTAAGAAAAAGTATTTGTTCTACATTCCTCCCTTTAATATCACGGGAGGACTGAAATAGACATAGGGTTGTGGAAGTCTACTCTGTAAATAGCGTTGTGTTAGCACCCTTAAAGGGTGAGCCAGAGGGCATGTTCTGCCCTCAGCAAGCCTGCAGCTCAGGAAGTCAGCCCAAGTCATTTATAAAACGGAGATACACACATACACATGTGCATATACACATGGAGATAACATACATACATGCATACACATACGTATGTAGCTCCATTCTATTTAATGATGTTTGTATGTAGGCAGATTCTTTTTATATAGTAATAGCTTCTAGCTATTGTTTTATATATAGATTTTATATACATAATATATAAAATATATATTCGACATATATAGAATTATATATATCATTAAAAACATATACTCATATAAACAACAGCAAACATAGATACAGAGAACAGATTGGTGGTTACCAGAGGGCAAGGGAGGTGAGGGGGGCAAAAGGAGTAAAAAGGGACGTTTATACAGTGACAGATGGAAACTAGACTTTTGGTGGTGAACATGATGTAGTGTATACAGAAGTCTAAATATAATGATGTACACCTGAAATTTATATAATGTTATAAACCAGTGTTACCTCAAAAAATATATATATACACTTGTGTATATTTTAGAAATATAGAGGGAAAAATACACACACCACTCAAAAACAAGGCTATGGCATAAAAGGGATATGTAAAAATATCCGTTTTAAATGAAATTATGTATTTTATATGACATAATTTATATTTAATTATGTAAATTTTATAAAATTGACATTTTATATTTATATAAATTTTATGTAATATATACATACTTAACATAAAATTTAGGGTACTATTTTTCACTCAGAGACTTTCTTCGAGTGAAAGCTATGGCAAGCCTTATGTTATAAAAGTAAATATTCAATAATTTTGAACCTAACATGAAATCTTGCCCCTAGCTTTATAAAATGAACATCTACATGCTGTATTTGGTGGTTAGAAAACAGAACTCAAGGTATTATAAAGTGGCAATAATTCCTGAATTACTTCAGTTTACCATAAATTTCAGCTATCCCTACTATTTTCCACTGAAGAGCCCTCAACTGAGTGTTGAAGGTGTAAGAAGAGATGAGAATTATGACAGAACCAGAGCTAACATGATGAATAGGGATGGTGTTCCGAAGCACAGAGAGGATCAGCCACAGTAGGAAGCCGCTCCTGTGTGATGAGACCGCGGCAGCAGTCAGGTCAAGCAGGGTGGCCAGCTAAGTGGGGAGGCTCCAGTGAGTGCTCGGGAGCAGCTGCAGCCATGACAAGTCAGGAGGAGGCTGAATGTGTGACAGGATGAAAGGCGAGTGTGGGGGGCACCCGGGTGGGCCTTCTGCTGGTTTGTAGGTGTCGAGCCAGAGCCTGCATGGTGTGAAGGTGAGTGGCAAGGCCATTGACCTACCACCATTGCAGCTAAGGGATTCTTGAAAACATTTATGTCCTCGGTGAGGGGATTCCTGTTTCAACAGATTTTTCGATACAAATAAAACTGGTATTTTGGGTGGAAAATGCCGAAAGTAAGAATGTGCTTGATATTGAAGCTTTGAAGGACCACCTCATACCTCTACTTTATGAACATATATCCACTGTCTGCCAGCTTAAACCCTCTGAGTCTCTTTGGAGCATTAACATCTAATTAACTGACCTATTCACAAGTAAAGTAGTGTTGTCTGTGGAGTTGGGTTTTTCTTTTTTTTCCCCCAGGTTCTGAGGTCAGGTCCCATATCTTGTCGTTGCATTTGGACACCCAACTTACAGTGAATGCTCAGTTACTACTCATTGAACGATAGTGCTGTCCCAGTGGATATTTTTATATGTACAGTTACTTCATGTATGTTAATAATTTTAACGTCTGAGAAGTACTGGCAAGAAGTAGAATTCTTTTAAAACTTTGCACTTCTGCTTAAAGGTGTCTTCTATAGCAATGAAACTTCATTTATGTATGCTTTCAGAAGTGTTGTCACATACCTGTTACTTAATTCTCACATTTACCCCAAAGAATAGGCAAAAAATATATATTAAATGTACATTTGTGTTTCTTTATCCTCCACAATTTTATTCTTATTACTGAGTTCTGTGTAGTGGTATATAGTATTTCAAAATTATTACAGTATTCAGTACCCAAATAAAGTGAAGAGAGAATAAGCTGAAAGTAAACTTCTTTTACCTCATTGGGGGGAATATAATGCATATGTACCCATGCATATATAACAAGAGAGAAATTTAATGTAATAAACATGGAATGAGTAAATGGCTGTTTGTTAGAGTATTCTCTGTACTTTTATGGATATTTGAAATATTGCATATTAAAAAAGAAAGTTAGTAAAATGTAAGTTAGTCATTATTAAATCAACGATAATGTTACATAGGAATGTATGAAATGTTATTTAGGACATTATGAAATGTCGCCAGAATGTTGCCTTGTGTTCTCAGAATAAATGCTACATAATAGTCACCATAGCAGTATTGTAGCTAAAGCGTTGAACTGCTGGTTTTAAATATTGTGTTGGAGAAATTAGACAACTCCAACCCTGTAAATGGGATGTTGTGTTGTGTTTGTGGTGAGTTTACTGTTAAAGCGACAACTAGCATTGATGTGTCTGATAGTTGGTTTGTTCTTTTTACCTCTTACCTCACAGTGGTTTATCAGATACTATCATTTTGGATATAATATCAAATTATCTGGTGCTTCCCAATCGAATCACCGTTCCTCTTGTCAGTGAAATTCAAATAGCTCAGCTGCGGTTTCCTATACCAAAGGTAAGCGCGTCTTAGCCTCCCTCAGCCCTTACAAGTACATATGGAGAACCTTCGCACACACTGGGTGTTGTAACTTCTTGCATTTCTCCTAACAGTGACCTTGCCACATGGATCTTGATGCAGTAAAGGTAGTTTCTCCTGCCACACTCCTTAAGAGGTTGGCTAATGAGTGTCTGACCTGAAAGCTTTCACAAAGACTTCAGATCAGTTCTTAAACCTCAGCTGTGAACCTCAAAGGTGCTAATAGAGATTTAATTCTGCACATGCTATTGCAAGTCATAAAGGACACTGTGATAATTTAGTTATCACAAAGCACATGTTACTTGTGTTATCAAAATGTGACTGCTTAGTCTAAGCAATGGGGACTTTGTCTAAGGACTGGTGCAGGTTTTCTCTCAGATGTGAGAATATGCTTATCTCTGGAGTCGTTAAATGAGCAGCGTGGCAGAAGCCATGCTGGTACTACAGTTACCCTGGGTGGGAGGAAGGGACGGGGCTGTATCTGAGCCACAGCCTGGGGTTGAGCCACAGCTCCACTTCCGGACATATTAATTGGCACGTCTGGGCCTCAGTTTCTTCATCTGTAAATTGGAGGTGATACCTGTCACACAGAGTTGGGTCACAGATACTGGAATCACCTTCATTCGAGTAAATAAGTAAAGTCGACTAAAGACTATGAGAACTGGCCAGTCAAGGACAGGCTAGCGAAGGAGGTACTTGGGGTAGACAGCCCCTCACAGGTATATGAGAGCTTTTCCCACTCTGTACTTGACCCACATCCCTCTAGTCTTGTCTGACTTTGGACTCTGTCTGTAGTGAGCATGACACTGATGCACACAGGATAGGTTACAGTTAAGTAACCAAAACAAAAGTGTTGAGTTGGTCCTGTTCAGTGGGAGTGGTGGTATTTTTAGTTTGTTTCCTGAAGTCGAAGTAGACAACTTTTCCCTGAGGCCTGATACTTTCTCTAGTTAAATTAGATCCCAGGGGCTGGCCCTGGGGCCGAGTGGTTTAAGTTCACGTCCTCCACTTCGGCTGCCCAGGGTTTTGCTGTTTCAGATCCTGAGTGCGGACATGGCACTGTTCATCAGGCCATGCTGAGGCAGCGTCCCACACAGCACCACCAGAAGGACCTACAACTAGAATATACAACTCTGTACTGGAGGGCCTTGGGGACAACAGATGTTAGCTCAGGTGCCAATCATTAACAACAACAACAACAAAAATTTAGATCCCAGTATCAGTGCACAAATCAGTAAATGTGTTTGAGCATTCTTAGACAGTCAGGGACTGCATGTAAATGGTGATCTCATAGGATTGGTACCATGTGACCTAGCTGTGTGGTAGACTGTACTATGATGTTAGCACAACCCTGACATCTTCTGACGACACTTTTCTCAGAGTGTATCCCCTTCGTCAGCAGACGCATAACTGTATTTTTTAAAAGTAACAGCGCTCCATTTAATTGACGCCCAGTTATATTGTTGGCATTTAGCAGGTTTAGTGAAGCACTACATATGAGAAAAGGATGTCTTTTTCCTTGTCTGCTGATCTTCATCTCTGAAAATGCAGGAATTCCTTTCCATGCAGAAATCCTCGTGCTCCTTTGCCACTTAGGCTTTTTATTCTTGAGTGCGGGTGAGCGTCTCAGCCTTCCCAGATCCAGTCTTACTTAACCATGTGGTGGTTAATAATGGATGATGCTTAAATATGTTGCCAGATTATCTAAACTTTAGACATGAAATTGTAAACAGGAAATTTTGTTTGAGTTTTTAAAAGTGTATTTTTCTGTAAAAATGCCTATCTTCGTATGCTGATTGGGTTAGGAATGTCGCACAGTAATTTTTTAAAAAGGTTATGGGGGAGAATGCCACCCTACCGAAAGGTAACTTTGCCACCTTTGTTTGCTTTGAAAGAAATAGGAGTGAATATTTTTATTTTATCAATTAAACAACATTCTGGGAAAAGAGAACTGTATTTAAAGTCTATCAGTAGTAGGTATTTCAAGGTTTTTTCCTATCTATAAAATAATTTTAATGACAGTATTTCCTAGGATTGTTCTAACAATTAAATGAAGTAATCATTGCATATCAAGGGCTTATTAACGGGTCTGATACCTCCTGTAATGTTAGTTATCACTCACTGTAGTAGCAAAACAAGATTGTTTGGTGACCCACGAGGCCCTGTGTAATCTGACCTCCACTCGCCAGAGCCTGGCTCCTTGGGCTCCTGGAGCCCCGGGTTGCTCTGCAATCTCTGCCAGGAGAAGTCTCTGGAGGGGTCAGTGGCTCATGCCTTGCTCTCTTCCCACCTCTGGTCTCCGGTCTAAGCAGTGCCCCTTGGATGCTGTCCTCTTGCCCTGCTTCCGTGTTTCCTTAGCATGGCCTCAGATGTGCTCCATGGTCACTTTCTTCTTTGCTGCATGAGAAGAGGGTCTTTGTTTTGTTCCCTCTGCACCTTATTTTTAGGAGGGGCAGCACACAGCCATCCCTCCGTGTCTGTCACAGGAACCCATGAACAGTCTTCATGTATGTTCTCCTTTTCAGGGTGTTCTAAGGATCCATTTTATTGAAGCTCAGGATCTTCAGGGGAAAGATACTTATCTGAAGGGACTTGTCAAAGGAAAGTCAGACCCCTATGGAGTAATTCGAGTTGGCAACCAAATCTTCCAAAGCAAGGTCATCAAAGAGAACCTCAGTCCAAAGTGGAACGAGGTATACGAGGTAAGGTGTGCCCAGTCATGTCAGCTGGGCGCCCACACTCTTTAATTCCACTCCTGTCACGTGGCAGTGTGAGGTAAGGTGTGTCCAGTCGTATCGACTGAGCCCCACTCTCTAATTCCACTCCTGTCACGTGGGAGTGCGAGGTAAGGTGTATCCAGTCTTGTTGACTGGGCCCCCACCCTCTGATTCCACTCCTTTCACATGGGAGTGCAAGGTAAGGTGTGTCCAGTCGTGTCAACTGGGCGCCCACACTCTTTAATTCCACTCCTGTCACGTGGCAGTGTGAGGTAAGGTGTGTCCAGTCGTATCGACTGAGCCCCACTCTCTAATTCCACTCCTGTCACGTGGGAGTGCGAGGTAAGGTGTATCCAGTCTTGTTGACTGGGCCCCCACCCTCTGATTCCACTCCTGTCACACGGGAGTGCGAGGTAAGGTGTATCCAGTCTTGTTGACTGGGCCCCCACCCTCTGATTCCACTCCTGTCACATGGGAGTGCAAGGTAAGGTGTGTCCAGTCGTGTCGACTGAGCCCCACTCTGTAATTCCACTCCTGTCACGCAGGAGTGCGAGGTAAGGTGTGTCCAGTCTTGTTGACTGGGCCCCCACCCTCTGATTCCACTCTTGTCACATGGGAGTGCAAGGTAAGGTGTGTCCAGTCGTGTTGACTGGGCCCCACTCTATAATTCCACTCCTGTCACATGGGAGTGCAAGGTAAGGTGTGTCCAGTCGTGTTGACTGGGCCCCACTCTGTAATTCCACTCCTGTCATGCGGGAGTGTGAGGTAAGGTGTATCCAGTCGTGTTGACTGGGCCCCCACCCTCTGATTCCTCTCCTGTAACATGGGAGTGCAAGGTAAGGGGTGTCCAGTTGAGTCGACTGGGCCCCACACTCTCATTCCACTCCTGTCACGCGGGAATGCAGTCGGACTAGGCCGCAGTTGAAGTCCTTTTTGCTTTAATTTCCCATCTTTAAAAAGTGTCATACCTTCTATCCCTGCCTCACAACATTCTTGTCATACCAGCACATAAAATTTTAAACCTGAATTACAGAAAGCAATCATAGTAAATAATTGGCCAAATATTTTTCATAGTGTGAAAAATGTTGTGTGTAGTTAACTACACGTAAACTATACAAAAATGAGATTAATTATAGTTTGGTAAATTTTAATTTAGTACATCTGGACATCTCTACATGTCAATAAATGGACATTTATTTATAATAGCCATTCATTGAATAGATACTATCATTCCTTTACCCAACAAGATCAGCATTATAACCATTGCTGTTCCAGTGTGAATGTATTTTCCTTCATGTGGCCAAGTTTTCCCCAGTAAAGCTCCTCAAAGTAGAATTGCTGCATCAAAAGTTACGTGTTTTTGAAAGGACTGATACGTTTTTGCAAAATTGTTCTTCAGAACAGTAGTACAGTTTATATTCCACCAGCTTCCCATCCTTCCCTTCCGATTGTTGCCATATCTCTTAATCTCTGAGTGCTGGTAAGTGGATCACTTGTGGTTCTCCCAAGGATGGCATCTGAACAGAGCCACTTCAGGACAAGAAACATGTCCCAAGCCTGTACCAGGTTTATGAGTTCTGTCCTGTGACCTCGTTCTGGAGCAATTGAACTTCACCCATTGAGATGTAATCCCAGATAACTGAAAACAAACACAGTGGACTGTTACCATGTAGGCAAATATTTCAGAATGATATCCCAGTCATTGAGAAGCGTGTGGTTTGACAGGAAATATGAGTGCTTTACAACTGTTTACCACTGGAGAAAGTACAGCATATGGTGATATTTACTATTGATTATTGAGTATGATCATTATACTCAATAGGTGACAATATTAGTAAAAATGTAAAATAACTACTAATCATTAATTTTTCAGGCTTTAGTCTATGAACACCCTGGACAGGAATTAGAGATTGAGCTTTTTGATGAAGACCCAGACAAGGATGACTTTCTGGGAAGGTAAATCCTTCATGACTGTAAGGAGACCATAGGATCGCTTTTTTTAATAATTACTCTTAAAACTATAATTTAAAAAATAGATTTATGTACATGTTATATGTATTTTTAAATGGCTCTTAGGTATAATATTTGTTTCACCTTAGACATCTTAAAACAGGTTTTATTCCTAAAAAGTTTCACATTTAAGTAAGAGAAGGAAAGCTTCTAGATCTGTGTCTGTCACAGCAGCCACTAGCCACATTTAAATTATTTAAATGCTGTTTAAATTAAATTGATTAAAGTTAAACAAAATTTAAAATTCACTTTCCTAGTGTGCTTGCCGCATTTTGTTAAGTGCTCAGTGGCCACATGGGGTGTGTGGCCCCAGATGCCAGCGTAGCTTTCCAGCCTTCGTACCATGCGGACAGCTTTCCTCTGCATTGTAGAAATGGGTTTTTTAACTTTTTCAATTTGTTGGGTTATTTTTCAGGGGGGAAGTAGTAATTTACATTGTGCCTACACATTGGGAAAATAAATATTGATTTGTTTACTTCAATTGAACAGTCAGTGCAGCTGAAAAAAATGAGCTTTTAAAAAATACACTTTGAGGGGCCGGCCCGGTGGCACTGCGGTTAAGTGCGCACATTCTGCTTTGGCGGCCCGGGGTTCACCAGTTCGGATCCCTGGTACGGACATGGCACCGCTTGGCAAGCCATGCTGTGGCAGGCATCCCACATATAAAGTAGAGGAAGATGGGCACGGATGTTAGTTTGGGGCCAGTCTTCCTCAGCAAAAAGAGGAGGCTTGGCAGCAGGTGTTAGCTCAGGGCTAATCTTCCTAAAAAAAAGTACACTTTAGCCTAATCTTTATTTAACTGAATTTCTTGTGGCAAAAAAGATACAGGGATTAGATGACATTGGGCAGATTTGGCCTCATCAAGAATGGCCTATATGTTGTGCTGTGACTTATTCATGAGACAGTTTAACAAGGAGCAATGGAAAGATTTTAAGTGGGGTCGTGAGGGGATCAAATTTGCCTTCTAGTAAATCCACTGTGTGGATTAGATTATCAGGGATTGAGCCTGGAGTCTGGCAGACCATTAGGAGACTATTGTAATATACCAGAAAAGAGATGTGAGGGTCTAACCTGAGACAAAGATTGTAGGGGTAGAGGTGAGGGAGTGGCTGCAAGAAAAAATAGGTTTGTAACATCCTATCTTAGTCACCTCTGGCTTCAAGGCTGGGGGGTCCATTCTTTGCAATAGAGTGGGACTATTTAGGGGAAATGGAACGGGCTGTCTCAGACATGCTGAGCAAGAGGTGTCTGGGGAGCTCCAGGTCCGCCTGGCCCAGAGCTGAGGAGCAGAGTTGGGACGGTGGCAAAGGCCTAATTCAGCATGTGATCCGTAGTGGCGGGTGGCAGCGCTGAGGGAGAGCGCGCCAAACAAGACGGCTGAGTATTCCTGAACATTCTTGGCACATTGTAAATGGCCACATGGTGGGGAAGACCAGCTGCTTTACAGCTCTCACCTCAACTTTGCCAAACTGAGTGCTTCAGCCTCCCAGGAACTCAGCCGTGCTCTCCTCACCCTCTCTTCACACTCTTGGGTGTGAGTTTGAGGGAGCTTTTGGAAGAAGTCTGTTTATTGATAAACTGTGTAGCATTTTGTTACATTTCTGGAGTACTTTTTCATAGACAAATGTTTAAGGTTATTTCAATTATAAGGAGTGTGTTTTTATGTTCTAAAGTTGTTGTATTATTATTTCTATAGTCTTATGATTGATCTTATTGAAGTTGAAAAGGAGCGCCTTTTAGATGAAGTAAGTTTTCTTTGCATATTGTTCCACTTAATAAGCATCAACTAAGTTACCTGCTGCCGCCCTCTGCATGATGCTCACAAATATCGAGAACATGGCCTTTTAGTAATAGCAAAGAAAAAGAAGTAAGTTTGAGAGCCAAATCAGATAGTATGTGTTTCGTACCTACCATGTGCTAGAAGTTCATAAGAATACAAACACAATCTGACTGTCTTTCAGGCGACTGTGTGCTCTCTTTCGGAGTCAGGGCAGGGGCCTGGGAGAAGCTCCCTGATAATGGGCATTTTAAAGATAGCTGGGGTTAATGAGCAGAGCTAGCACAGAGCAGGTGATGAGAAGATGTCACATGAAAGATATCTGTCAGGCAGTGGGAATTGACAGCAAGCAGATGCTACCTCAAACAGGATATTGCTATCAGAGTAAAAAGTATGAAAAAAGGAAAAGTTTGTGGTGGCTTCTAAAAGATAAGTAAAGCATAACCAAATCAATGTTGAGATCTGCTGCTTACAAAGTAAGGTGTTTTCCTTCCCAAGCAGACAGCATTGCTTCAATACATATTTGCGTACCTGTTGTATACCAGGTGCTGAGAATAAAACCCTGCATTTGTGGCACTCTCTTCTTAACATTGAGTATTTGGGGGCCATCTTTGATTAGTTACTTTGTGGTTTTTAAGTTGAAACAACTGTATACTATTTTGTTAATTAGTATATCGTGATGAATAAAAACAAACATATTAACTTGTTGGATATTGAAATTCAGTATTTAGGATCCATGTTATATTATCTCTTGGCCCATAAGTTCTGTTAAAATTCATACTTAGAAGCCTGATAGTACTGGATGGTACTGGAAGACGTGAATCTTTGCATGTAAATTAAAGATGAAAATTGTATTTACTGCACAGGGCTTTTGTCAGGATTCAATGAGTAAGTGTATGTAAAGCATTTAGAATGGTCTCCAGCCGGTAGGCAGTGCTGTGCAAGTTCCATAGAGCTGAACATGGCAGGATTCAGTCCTTCCACGTTAACTGAGAACTGTTTATCCCTCAGTGAGCACCTTGTGACATTTGTAGAGACTGTTTAATTTGAATTTTGATTCAGGAGAACTTTTGCTGAACTTGTGCGTTTTCTCTTCAGTGGTTCACCCTAGACGAGGTCCCCAAAGGAAAGCTGCACTTGAAACTGGAGTGGCTCACGTTAATGCCAAACGCCTCAAACCTTGATAAGGTGCTGCAAAGGTTTTCCTGTGATGACCAACAGGCTGAGATTCATATCTTTAAGTTGTGTTGCTACTCAGTTTAAAAAGAAATTACAGCAATAATTTTGACTGTTGTGCTGTAAGTCACTACAGTAGTATCAGGGATAAATTAAAGATAATGGGATATTTTTAAGAGAGATTTACAGTTCATTCACACCTGTTTTACAAGATATTAAAATTGTGTGCTTGATATAGTACAAGGATCTGGAGAGCCACAGATCACCTGAGTGCTTCATTTAATTGATTTGTTTAGATTCTTGTCATTTAAAAGATATTTATTGTTTTTATTCTCTCTGTATTGCATATATTAGATGGTTTATTTCTCTACTTATTTTTTTGAGCATTATAGACATACTTAGGTAGAAATAGTCTAACATTTTGTGGAAACAGGCCTGTTGAGGCTTCTTTTCCTTTCCTTGTAGGTGCTAACAGACATCAGAGCTGACAAAGACCAAGCCAATGATGGTCTTTCCTCTTCATTGCTGATCTTGTATTTGGATTCAGCGAGGAACCTTCCGGTAGGTAACGCCATGGGAACTCATTCAAGTGCTCATTCCCTGGGAGTGGATCTTGCTGTGTTCAGCCATGCTGAGTCACCTGTTCTTGTTGCTGTTATTTTCACTTCCCTCCAGCCTGAGAGAGCAGCAGTGGAGATGGATAAGTGTGTATTTGCTTCAGAGTGTAATTTTCTCTTTACACATCTTCCTGATTTATCCAGGGTGTTCAGAAGGATCTTTACGCTGACTTGTTTTATGAAGAAATCTCCAATACATAGGAAAAGAATATGCCTAGTTTTTAGGGAAGAAGTTATTCTGTAGGAAATCACTAATTATTAAAATTTAGTTACCTAAAGATGGAAATTATCTCTGTTTGGCACGGGAATAAAATGAAGCAGCTCTGATGACAACCCAGAGTTCATCCTGACTGTGGCATGGCAGGATGACAGGCCAGGCAGCGGTGAGAGGAGGAGGGTGCTCAGGACGTGCGGACACAGCACAAAAGATACACACACTGCCCCTGGTGATCTGTCACGCACACTGCTTCTACAGCCCGGGCATGTGCTGCTACTCATTTGCCTCACAATTGTTTTGCTCTTAGAAAAAACTATACAGTACAGTTTTTATAGGTAACGACTGTCACCTTGGAGAAGGAAAATCATGCCGCTTCAGTCACGTAAGGCCTGGTGGGATCCTCCACCACCATACCTAGCCCCACTATTTAGGATAATGTGGTCATTATAAACGTTATGTTGTTTTGATAATTTTTTTTGAGTGCCCATTCAGTTGTTCAGTAGATGGTGATTCTTGCTTTATTTATTGTATCAAAGGCCAATTTTGTTGAAGGAAAGACTACTGCCCCCAACTACAGGGTGTTTTCCTCCTTAGATTGTAGTGAATGCACCTTCATCCAAGTGCCTTTGTAGATACCCTCCCTGTGGGGATTCACTTGGTGGAGACAGACAGGTGGGCACAGAGCACTCACTCAGCCCTTTACGGTGATGCGTCTGAGAGTCTGCTGGGATTCCGGTCTCACCTCAGCTCACCACAGTTGGACTGTTTCCTTCACCTCATGAAATACGCATTCTCATGTCAACTGTACATTTTATTTAAAGTTTTTAACAATTGAAGTCTGATTGATCATCTATTTTTTTCACACTGGGAAGATGCAATTGAACTGTTTGTGTAAATTATATATAATTGTACTCTTTCTTTCAGTAAAAGTTTCTTGACTGATTTTAACTTCTTAACCTCTTAGTTTCTCGTAAAGTATTACCTTAACCTTTTGGCCGGTCTTCCAATCTGAAGTCTATGACTCTATCTGTTATAATTTCCATTTGGGGGAAGTTGTTTCATTATTTAACGTTTCTAGAGTATTTCTTGTGTGGTAGAACTTTCTGTTTTTAACCGTGATAATGTTTGTTATAAAGTCATGCCTGATGACAGTGAATTTGTTGTATATTTTAGGAGATAGAAAATAGTGTTGGTGAATTGGCAAGAAGGAGTAGGCCTCTCTTTAGAACTGTTTTGTCACATTAAATTGAAATTTGAATAACGTCACGTAAGCAAAAGAAAAGAAAAGTGAATTTATTAACCTTCTATTAAAAGCGCACCTTGTGCATGAAGTATGCTCTGGCCGTCAGAGGCAAAGCATCTTTGCGAAACTGCTGCCCTGCGGGTGTGTTTGAGGGGCGCTCGCGTGTCGGCCCCCTGCGTTTCTGCGGGATTCTTTGACTCTGCCTTTGCACTCCTGTTTATTAGTGCTGCCTGTGCATTCATTGACCACAATCCACCATTCTTTGCTTTCTCCTCCCATTTCTACTTTCCTAAGAGTATCTACGAGGGAAACTTTGGGTGTGGCTACTTAAAAGAGAGGCGAGCGTCGGGACTAGTGTTTTGTGAAAATACTACCTCAGTCTATAGAGCACTATTTGTGAGTTCTCCAGTGTTCTTTCTTCCTTTATTTTAATGGAGACTGCTAGAATGTGGACTGGACCCTCTAATGCCGTCTACTCCGTGGTGGAATGACGTCGCATGCTGCTTTAATTTCCTTGCATGACTTCAGTTACTGTGTGTGTTTCCTCTGTGCTTGTTTTGTAAAATGTAACACTGCTGTAACTAACGTTGGTGACTGCATCTGATGATGAGATGAACAGACCTGATGAGTCACGAAGAAGCTCTAGCTTCCTAAACTGCTACTGGCCCATAAAAAAATAAAAATAAAAATTTTTGTGAGGAAAAAATGAAGCTGTAATGATTACAATTGATTTCCTTGTGGTTCATCTCAGTGTGAGATGTGAAGATTTCTTTGCAAGTTTTCAAAAAGTTTCCTTAAATCTACTTTCTCCTCCTGACCAAACACAGAAGTGCCAGAACTTGGCTTTCCCTAAAGTCCCAGCTGTGCCCATGGGGACAGTCGGTGAAGACATAAATTCACCTGTTACCCTGAAAACGTGCCTTCTCCCTCACTGTTTAACCAGAGCCCCTAAGGGAGAAAATAGAGTGTATGATCCAGCTTCTTTTAAGGAACTTAAAGAATTTCCTGGAGTGGATAATGGAGCATTTCTGATCTCTCTTTGGGAAGCTGATTTTGGTCTCATTCTACCCATCTCCCTGGGGGCTTGCTCTGGCACCTTGACTCCTCATATTGTTTTTGGCAGATAGTTGTTTTTACTTGCTTTGGGGTCAGAGAAAGCCGCCGATAGCTTAGTCATTAGTCTAGAAAGTCACCCTTTCCGGACTAACTATTGGTTTAATTCAGTAGCTAGTGAGATTCGTAAAGTTCATTCAGCCCTTTAATCTCGTAGTGGTAGCGCTTTGCATTTTTGAAGAGTTTTCATTTCTCTTTCCACATGCATTCTCAGTCTATTCTTAGTAAAAAGAAGAAGGGGGGCAAAACTTGGGGACTAGGTATTTTGTCCCAAGTAGTAGATGAGGAAAGCCCAGACTCGGAAGAACAGTTAGGAGAGCTGTTCGGAGCTGCACTGACAGTAAACGATAACCGTGGCCCCCACACCCCTTACTTGCAGCTGTTTAAAAGTAAGCATGAGGCCAGCAGTGCATGTTGCAGCTGTTTTCCACCACTTGCTAGTGAAGTGGTTTTCTGTCCCGGGTCTTCCTAGTGGAAGACTGTGTTGTGAGCTGCTGTGAGTGGCAGGCGGCTCTGCTGCGTAAGCTCGTAGTCTGTTGCCAGCAGCTTTTCTAAGTTACTTTTTCCATTCTGTAACTGCTTCTTTGAAAGAAAGTATTTCTGACCTTGTGTCAGGATTTTTTAAATCGCTTTGTAATATTTAGCTAAGACATTGCTGGGTGATCAAAACTAACTTTCCTCCTGCATTATCAAAATCACATACTCTAGGGCCAGTCCGGTGGCATATGGTTAAGTTCATGCGCTCCGCCTCAGCAGCCAAGGGTTCACAAGTTCGATTCCAGGTGCAGCCCTATGTACCACCCATCAAGCTATGCTGTGGTGGCATCCCACATAAAATAGAGGAAGATGGGCACAGAGGTTAGCTCAGCAGCAATCTTCCTCAAACAAAAAGAAGATTGACAACAGATGTTAACTCAGGGCCAATTGTCCTCAGCAAAAAAAAAAAAGAAAAGAAAACCACATACTCTGCTTTATATAATTCACATAGAGTCATCAACAAAGTGTTCCGTAAAATAAATTTGAACAAATTAATGGCTTTTTTGTTTTTTACCTATTGTTTTTACTGTGAAGTTAGATCAGTACTTTTCCACATTCCTCTAAAGGCTGAGACTGTTGCTGTTTCTAGTAAAAGTTTTACATGGCTGCCAGCGTGTTGCTCTCTGATCTTCTACCTGCTCAGAATTTCAGAGGAATGCTGAGGGTGTGCTCTGCCTCCAGGCCAGCTTTAGAACTTGAGGCTTACAACATACCGTGCTATTGCTGAGCACTTTCTAAGGGCTGTACGTGTCTCCCTCATTTAGTCTCAGACCATCCTGATCACTTCTCAGATAAGGAAACAGACACCACAGAGAGCCTGAGGGACTGGATTAGAGACCCAAGGTCACGGCTAGTAAGTAGCAGAGCTGGGATATGAACTCAGCTGTGTCACCTAGAGTCCGCATTTTTGACCCTCCTGTCTACTCCATCCTGGTATAAAGTGAATTTGCTATTATTTTATTAAGTTATGAGTTCATAATGCTGTATATGGAGTTTATCTGAGATGAGTGGTGTTTTTATTAATGTCTATTTCATACATAAAAATGCCAGCTGTATAATATGAGACCCATGGGTGTTGATGATGCTAGGAGCTTTATAAAAGTTATCTTGGCTCTCATTTTAAAAGCACAGGTGGCTATTACCGCCTCCGTTTATGGTGAATACCCAAGGGTGGAAGGTGCAGTCATGTTCAGAGGCCTTACACTGTGCCTCCACCTAGCGCCCTGGATGATCTGGTCTGTCTCACCCCCAGGCCTGTGCAGCTTTCACAACCTCACTTGGCTCCTCGTGCACCCGTATCCCCACACCATGGCCTCTCTCCTTGTTTGCTTTAATTGATGCATGTTAGAATAATATGTGCGGTTAGTACAGGTCGTATCTATCCAAAGTGAGCTTCAGGAAAGGTTCTTATGACACCTGAATATTGTCAGTCCTCACACCTCAGGGCAAGGGTTCCCAGCCTCCCCTGTCTTGGCGGCCCCAGAGATGGAGCTGGTGGGTCCAGTGTTTTCAGAGTTCCACAGGCTCTTCAGTGGCAGCCTGGGCTGAGGGCTGCTTTAACATTGCCTTAATTTCATTTGACCAGATGTTTGATCTTCTCATCTGGCCCAGCCTGCCGTGATCATGGAAGGCTGGGAGACTGGTTGTCTTCCATCTTTATTCATTATAAAATCTTTTCCATAAAAAAAATAATAAAATTCAATTTGTCATTTGAAGTTAATTACAATTAAAATGATAAAATCTTTAATCTTAAACATTAGTCCTCAAAGGAGTTTGTACAACTCAGTCTTGCCTTTTTGAGGGAAAGAAAGTAATGAATTTTTAAAAATCAATGGAAGTAGGACTTAAAACCTGTAATAATAGCACTTTAAAGCCAGGAGAAACTTTTGAGGTGATCTAATCAGCCTCTGCATTTTGTACATGGAAGAGAATGGGGGACAAAGTAGAGAGGGCCCCATCTCTGCTGTGGTCTTGCATGAAGAAGGGAAATTTCAGGAGGAAGGAAAGTAGCATCTGTATTACAGGATATGATTTGGCTTCAGAGCCATTTGGGCATCTTTGGTCCCTTCATTATACTTTAAATAAAACCTTTAGTTTAATTATAATTGATACTTTAGGGGTTTATTCAAGCAAGGGATAGTAAATAGAACCTCTTCCCAAAGTGTCACTCTTGGATTTTTCACATCCCAAAGACAGGGGCTGGGGACTAAAAGACTAGTAACAATGGAGGCAAAGGAGATATGTTTTACTATTTATAGATTAAAGATTCATTCTAAGGTAGAATCTTGGGCATAAAGAAGAATTTTACAAATGATTTTTACTGTTTTTGTGTAATCCTTGTTGGTTTTCGTTTAAAGATTTTTTGTTCTCATAAATTTCATGTCATTAACCTTACATAAACTCCTCATTGCATGTTTTATTAACCCTTGGTATATTCATTTTCTTCTGACTTGAAAGAGTAACCCATTAGAATTTAACCCTGATGTCTTGAAGAAGGCTGCAGTTCAGAAAGCTTTAAAGGTAAACTAATAGTTTTCCCTTCGAAAAGTTAATTAAAACATATTGAAAGAGATGATGCTTTAACCCTTATGGGTTTATCAACAAATTGCTTCCAGACTGATGTAGTCATTAGTTATCTAGTTGGAGAGAGCCTGCTTTTGTTACCAAGTATTAGTAGTGAGAAGAATGAAAACCAGCTTTAAAGATAAATTTTGTAAAGTACCAATATGATAAATTGGACTTCTGTCCTGTTGGCCTTAGGTAGCAATATCTAAGGTGGCTTTAAATCATCTGTATTTTAATTGGATTTGAATTTGTGAAAATGGTGAAATAGAGGTTCTATTTAAAATGGTAACCAGTTTTTAGGTTATGATTGACTGATATGCCTTGTGCAATGTGGCCGTCCATTTAAAAATCACCTCTTCCAATATGCTGAATCAGGGCCGTCTCTGAGTGGGTCACCTCATGGCTTTTGGTGCTGCTGGGTTTGGGTGACAGATCTTTGAGAATCTTTAAATTTCATTAAATGAGGTATATTGAAAACTAAGCTCCACTCCCTAAAACGACATGAACATGTATTTTTCTGGCTAAATTGTTAAAAGTTTTCTATGACTTACAATGTTTTATTATTTTTTATCTGATTGCTTTGATCATTTTAGGCTTAAATATTTGGGCGTGGGGGTGGTTAATGTAATTGTTTTAAGAAAATTCCATCCAGAGGAATAAAGAATGGTTTGTAATCAGTTAAATTTTAAAAGTGAGGAAGACTCATGGAGTCTGCTTTGATGTGATATGCCTTCAGCCCTTAGCGCACCCTGTCCTGTGGCTGCCAGTGAATTACTCCTCTGGAGTACTAACTAGCACAGTCATTGAAATAACTGTTCCCATCAGCACACTGGGCAGATTTATATCAACAGTCTTCTCCTCCTGCTTCTTTGATATTTGAAGGTTATTGAGCAGCAGAACATGATGGTTACAACAAAGACTCTGAAGTCGGACTGTCTGGGTTTGATCTGTTCAGCAGTGTGACCTACAGCAAGATATTTAGTCCTCTCTGTTATTCATAGGACGGAAGTGATATAATCTTCTTTATTGGAGTATTGAGTAAATTAAATAAAATCATGCATGTAAAAGTGCTCAGGATAGCTAGGGATAATATGTGTATTTTAATCATTATTACATTATCTCATTTAAGCCTAACAACTAGATTCTGGAAATGGTATTGTGCCCATTTTATAGACAGGAAAACTGAGGTTCAAATAGATGAAATATGTAGGTCTCATTAATCAAGTGGTGAAGAGCTGAGATTTAAATTCAAGACAGTCTGACTTAAATTTTTATTTTTATTATACCTTGTGTCTCTTACTTGTGCTAATACATTTTGAATATTGTGTCCTGGTAGAAAACTTAGTCAGCAATTTAACCTTATTTCATAGAATCTAAAACATCATCCATTGTAAAATACACCATTATTTTATGTACCACTAAGAAAGGAAAAAAAGTGCCTCTTAAGATTTGATAGTATTTTATACTTACTGAAAGAATTTTTAGATTTAGGATAAACATAGATTTTTATCATGTTACATGCACATGTGAAAGGAAAATATAAGCAAAATAAATTGGTTAAGGCAGTGACAACTATCTCCATACCACGATTTGCCCAAAAGCAGGTGCATAAAGTATCAATTGTAAGTTTCGTTCTGTTTTCAGAAACATTAGAAAGAAAGAAAAAAAAAGTGTGTCTTGAAATTGATAAGATAAAGTAAATCTCTAGGAATGAATGGCTACTTTTTTAGAGATGAAGTAAGTATATTAAGAAACAAACTCAGCTTCTGTATCAAAGACTCAAAAGTAGCAGTAACTTAAGCAAGACAGAAGTTTATTTCCCTCGAATATAACAGAATTCTGTGACTCTGCTGTGTTCAACCCCTGCACAAAAGTGGGGGGCGTGGCAAAGGAAGGACACCCCTTCTCTGAGGCCAGACTGTTCCCTGGCCACACCAGCTTCAAGGGAGGTTCGGAAACAGAATCTCTATTTACAGAAGACTTGTGCTCAGCCAAAACTCCGGGGTTCTGATGTTAAGGAAGAAGGAGAAAATGGATTTAGGGGAAAAATTAGTATTCTCTGCCACAGTAGTCTATAGCCTTGGATATTTTTTTAACAGTATTTATTTCATTTTGCAGAATTCATTCACATCAAAAAGATGAACCAGAAAATAGATTATTGCAGTAGGTTTGGGCTAGTAATATTTTATTCCAGTAATCATGAATTTGATGCCTTTTTCTGTCATTGCTGCAGTATTGAGTGTTGACTCAAATTATTTAACTAAAAAACATTTTTGTGACCTTCTAATATTATTAATTTCCACTAACACAGATATTTAACTGCATCTTCTTGTGGGGCTAAGTTATAAATAAACCTCATGTCCATATATGTTGTGTTTTACTATGTTTTCTTCTATCAGTTGTCTGTACTAAAGTATACTTCTTACCATTTTTTCTTATTCTTGAATTTTTCTCATTATATTCATCTCTGCTTAATTTAATGTGATTCTAGATTGATGTTTATTCTTCCAGTCAAAATTACTTAGCAGCTGGTAAGCAGGATTTGATGTCTGGTAGCTACATGTTTGAACAGCAGATACTAAGTTAAAAACGTAAAAACTTGTCTCTGACATTATAGTATTTTTATTATGCCAACCAGAGGACTATTCCCAATTATACAGTCTTTTACATTTGTCCTTTCTCATGTTTTTCTGTATCCATTCGTTGCACTTGATTCATTTTGTTATCCCAGTAAAATAAGTTTTGAGAGCTGTAATTAACATTAAAGATTTCCAGGAGATTCCATTTTTCCAAAGTAGCTTGCTATAAAGATAAAAGACCTTAACATTTAAAACTTGTTTGCAAATAGAAGTTTTCTTAATTTATTTCATGGTAGATACAGTTATGGCTTTGGGATGTGCTTAGCAATTGTTTTCCATTAAATTGTTGCCAGATATTTCCTGTAATTAAAATATCAAAAGTAAATAGAAATGACTGTTAATATAAGCCAATAATTATGTTTTTAGTAAGCCCCATTTCAAGATGTATTTGTTTATTTTGTCTGTTTTTTGTTTTTGGATAGTCAAGGAAGAAGATAAACAGCAACCCAAATCCTCTTGTCCAAATGTCAGTTGGTCACAAGGCCCAGGAGAGCAAGGTGAGGCTGATGTTCCCACAGTTGCCTGTGATGTCACTATCACAGGGGGTGGGGACTGCCAGGCTGGTGATGATGCAGGTGTCCAGACCATTGATTCCATGTCTTCCTTTTGTTTTCTCAAAGCAGTCGTTTGATAACCAGCTACTTAATTTGGTAACAAATATATTTTTGGTATTATACTAGTATATTAATTTTGGTAAAAAATAGCATTTAAAAATAACGTATGAATGTGCTTTTGTTTGATTTCATGGGTAGATGACGAGGGACAAATTTCTAAGTTTCCTTAGAATACTCTATAAATGTTTCGTTTAAAAGATAACCAACAGTGTGCTTAAAATTCAACAAATACAATTCTGTTCAAGAATTGAGAGAGGGCATTGCTGTTGCTGTAATAAGTTCTACATTCCTAAGATGAGAGAAAACATTTCAGGAATTATATGAAGTTACAGGCCATTGTTCACTTTTAACTGTGAGTTAATTTAAGAAGCTTCCTGACGTGCAGCACTGTGTCATCCCCAGGGCAGTAGGGGGACGAGGCCCAAACCAAGCAGAAGTCCTTGTCACTGGGACTGGCGCACAGGGTAGGGTGTCATATGACTGATTTCCCTCACACACTCTAAAAGCTTTGGCCTGTCTCTCCGTCTTTTGAACACTTTCCACGATTTTTTTTTTTTTTAAGATTGGCACCTGGGCTAACAACTGTTGCCAATCTTTTTTTTTTTTTTTTCTGCTTTATTTCCCAAACGCCACCCCCCGCCCCCCCCCGTACATAGTTGTATATCTTAGTTGCAGGCCCTTCTAGTTGTGGGATGTGGGACGCCGCCTCAACATGGCTTGACGAGCAGTGCCATGTCCACGCCCAGGATCTGAACCCTGGGCTGCCACAGCAGAGCACGCAAACTTAACCACTTGGCCACGGAGCCGGCCCCACTTTCCACGATTAATACATAGTATTGCGTGCTCAGTAAATATATGCCTTGGGATTTAAAGTCATCCCAAGCTTCCAAATACAATAAATGGATAAACACACTGTTGGTAGCCCCTTTCCACAGAAAATATCGCAGCGCTCATATTTGGATATTTCTTTCAGATTCGGTACAAAACCAATGAACCTGTGTGGGAGGAAAACTTCACTTTCTTCATTCACAATCCCAAGCGCCAGGACCTTGAAGTTGAGGTATTTTATTTGCATTTCTAATATATTTGTTGAAATATAATCAAATGCAAAGAACTGCACATATTTAAAGTGTGCAATTATGGACCCATCACTGTAATCAATACATCTTTGTCAACCTTATCCCTACAGTAATTTTTTTTTTAATTTTCAACTTTTGATTGATTATTACTACTATCTAGAAACGTGGTTGATTTTTATTTTTATTTATGTCATATTGTACAACCCTGCTAAACTTGTTTATTCGTTTTGTTGGCTTTTTGTGGATATCTTAGATTGTCTCCTACATGTTGTCTGCAGTAGGAATGCTTCTGTGTTTCCAGTCTGAGAGCCTTTTCCTTCCTTTCCTACCTTGTCGCCCTACCTGGCCTCCAGCCTCTGGCACGAGTGGACACCTTTGCCTGCTTCCCGACCTGAAAGGGGAGGCCTAGTGTTTCACCATTAATTCTGATGTGTGAGGACGTTTCCTTCTACTCCTACTACTAGTTTGCTGAGTGCTTTTGTCGGGAGTGGATGTTGAATTTTGTCAGAGGCTCCTCTACTTAAGCTGATTGTACAGTGTTTCTTTTTAAGTTTGTAAATATGGTGAAATACATTGTTGATTTTCAAATGTTAAACCTTGCAAACCTTTATTTGGTTTTCAAGACTTAACATTTGAAAACCTTGCAAGTAAGCCCTTATGTGGGGATAATCTCCACTGGGTGATGATGTGGTGTCTCTTTTAGAAGAGTGTGTGTAGAATTGGTTTTGCTCCTCCAGTGCTGGCTGGAATTCCCTAGTGAAGCCGTCTGGCCTGCATTTGTAAGATGTTTAAGTACAAGTTCAATTCCATTGATAGATGTAGATTTGTGCATCTTATCCATTTCTTCTTGATGATTTTTGGTATTTATGTCGTTCAAGGAATTCATCCATTTCATCTAAATTTTGAATTTCTTGGCACAAAGTTATTCGTAATATTCCTTTAATGTCCTGTAGAGATACCACCTTTCTTGTGCCTGATATTGGTAATTATTGTCTTCTCTCTCTTTTTTCCCTGTGATCAGTCTGACAAGAGGTTTATCAATTTTATTTTCTCAAAGAACCAACTCTGGTTTCATTGATTATCATTATTGTTTTCCTCTCTTTACTGTTTCATTGTAGACATTTTTTTTTTTTTGAGGAAGATTAGCCCTGAGCTAACATCTGCTGCCAAGCCTCCTCTCTTTGCTGAGGAAGACTGACCCTGAGCTAACATCTGTGCCCATCTTCCTCTACTTTATGTGTGGGACACCTGCCATAGCATGGCTTGCCAAGCGGTGCCTTGTCCACACCTGGGATCCAAACTGGCAAACCCTGGGCCGCCGAAGCGGAACGTGTGAACTTAACCGCTCTGCCACCAAGCCGGCCCTCTTTACTGTTTCATTGATTTCTGCTATAATCATCATTTCCTTTCTTCTGCTTATTTTGGGTTTCCTTTGCTTTTCTTTTCCTAGCTTCTTAAAGTGGAAGCTTGATTTGAAAACTTTCTTTTATCATTTGAACATTTAGTCTGATATATTTCTCTTTAAGTACTGTCTTAGCCGCATCTTACAAATTTTGACTTGCTGTGGCTTCATTTTCAATCCTCTCAAAATACTTCCCCTTTGATTTCTTTCTTTGACTCACGGATTGTTTATTTAGAGGTCTGTTAGTTTTCAACTGTTCGGGCATTGTTCTTTGTATTCATTGAAATTTAATTTCATAGTGGTCAGATGATGCGCTTTGTGTGGCTCGAGTCCTTTTAAACTTGAGACGAACTTTCTGGTCTAGAGTGTTGTCTCTGTCGGCACGTGTGCACACTGAGCGCGTGGAAGGAGTGCTGTCGTGTGGCAGGTGCAACGTTCCCTGCACATCTGCGAGGTCACATTGGCTGATGGTGGTGTTCAGGGTTTCTGTGTCCTTGCTGTTTTCTGCCTGCTTGTTATGTAGTTAGTGAGAGTGTGGTGTTGGGACCTCTGACTGCTGTATTTGTGGATTTATCTGTTTTTTTCCCTCAGTCTCAGGTTTTGCTTCATGTATTTTGAACCTGTGTTATTAGGTGCATGAACATTTAGGATTGTTACGCTTGCCCACCTGATGAATTGATCCCTTTATCATGGTAAAAATCCCCTTTTACAGTTACACTTGAGTGATATTCTTTGCTCCATAATCGCATCTCCATATCCTAGTCTGATACTAATCTAGCTATCTGGCCTTTTTTTATATGGGAGTTAGTGTGGTTTATTTTTCCTGTTTTTTTCTATTTAACCTATTTGTGACTTTATGTTTAAAGTTGATTTCTTACACACAACATACAGTGGAATCTCGCTTTTTTTTAAAAAAAAGATTGGCACCTGCACTAACGTTTATTGCTAATCTTTTTTTTTTCCCTCTCCCCAAAGCCCCCTAGTACGTAGTTGTATATTCTAGTTGTGAGTGCCTCTGGTTGTGCTATGTGGGACACCACCTCAACATGACCTGATGAGCGATATGCCCAGGATCCAAAGTCCATGCCCAGGATCCAAAGTGGCAAAACCCTGGGCCACCAAAGTGGAGTGCGCAAACTTAACCACTTGGCCACGGGGCCAGCCCCTGAATCTTACTTTTTCCAATCTGACAATCTCTTCCTTTTAATTTCGCATTTAGGCCATTTGCGCTTAATGCCATTGTTGATGTGGTTGGTTTGAGTCTGCCGCCATGCTTTTTGCCCCATTTATTCTTTGTTCTCTTTCTCTTTTTTTTAATCTGACTTCTTTTGGATTAATTGAGCATTTCTTATAATTGCATTGTGTCTCCTTTTTTGGCTTATTAGCTATACCTCCTTATTTTTTTTGAGTTTTTTAGTGGTGCACATCTTTAACTTACAGTAGCCTGCCTTTCAGTAGTGGACCAGCACACAGGTGGGACAGGAGCCTTCCCTGGCATACTTCTGTTTCCTCTCTCCCAGACTTTGTGTTGTTGTTGTCTTACATTTTACTGCTGTGTGTGTGTTTAATCCCACAATATGTTTTTCTATTTTTGTTTTAAACAGTTACTTATATTTTAAAGAGCTTTAAAGAAAGTAAGGAAGTATTCTTTCCTGTTTAGCCACATATTTACCATCCCAGCATTCTTCGCTCCTTTGTGTAGATTCCAGTTTCCACCCGATGAGATTTTCCTTCTGCCTGAAGGACCTGCTTTAACAGTTTCTGTAGGGCTGGTCTGCTGGAGATGAATTTTTTAAGCATTTGTATGTCTGAAAACACCTCTGTTTCACCTTTATTTTTGAAAAATATTTCATAAGATAGAAAATTTTTGGTTAACACTTTTTTTTCTTCCACTGTCTTCCATCTTGCGTTGCTTCTCATGAGAAGTCTGCTGTTGTTAAGTTTGGAAAATTTTTGGCCATTACATCCTCCAGTTTTTCCCACCTCAAGTGTCTAATCTGCTGTCAGTCCCATCCTGCGTATTTTTCATCTTAAAGTTGAATTTGGATCTTTTTGTCTTCGCTGTCTTTCCTCGCCTTCTCGTGTGTGTGGTGTCTGTGTGATAGCTTTTAGTGCCTCATTGCTAATTCTGTCATCTGTTTAATTGCTGAATCTGCTTCTGCGACTGATTTTTACCCTCCTTATAGGTCATGTATTTCCTGCTCCTTTGATTGCCTGGTACTTTTGCCTGGTGAATTTTACATTTTTGAGTGCTGGGTTTTTGTATTCCTTTAAATATTTTGGTGCTATGTTCTCATTTGCAGGTGAGTTACTTAGTAGGAAACATTGAGCCTTTCAAGGTTTGTTAGGCAAACCTGACAGCCTTTAGTCTTGGGATCATGTGCCTCATGGGTCTGATGCCCCAGGTGTGATAAGGTTTCTTCTCTCTGTTTGGAGTGGATGCTACTGGCAGCCCTTTGTGCTGTGGGAATTGTCCCTCTGCTCCTCCTGGAACATCTTTTCTGGCCTCAGGTGGTTCATTCCCTTCCATGTGCTGATCAGCTGAAGATGCCTTCAGAGGCCTCTAGCTCTCTGCATGGAGCTCTGTCCTCTCCAGAACCTCCTGCTCCCTGACTTTTTCACCTCCTATCTTTAACGCAGGGGCACTACTGGCTTCTGTCTGGGATCCTCTTACTGAACACCGTGGCCTGGACACTCACCAGGCCGTGACCAGACCCGTTGTTGAGTGCACCTCACTTGTTAGATTGTTGTCCAAAAAACCCGTTGTCTCATATATTTTATCTGGTTTTTAAGCTCAGGTGAGATGGTAAATTCAGTTCCTCTTACTCCATCAAGGTCAGAAGCAGAAGTCCTCCGTTTGCATGTTTTAAAATATATGCCGTATACCTTACATACTCAGGAGGAGTTGGAGGGAGCTTCTTAGATGTACGCCTGGTACTTTCAATGTTGTGTATTCTACCCTCCTCTCACATAGCTCAGCTTAAAGGAAAGAGCTATTAGGTGGATCACACAGCTTGTGTGGTCATCCCAGTGGTGAGTGTACTGAATGTGTCAGTCTAAACAGTTCTGGCTCCTGCATTTCTTTTTTGGCATGGCCTCCTTTCCAGCATTCAATCTTTGAGAAGTTTGAGGGCGTCTGTTTCCATTTGGCTTGTGCACCTCTGACTTGGTTCCCCAGCCGCTGAGATCCTGAGTCTGAGAGGATGGCCTGCCGTGGAGTTCTCACTTCTCCCTGACAGACCCCAGGTCACTGGAGGGTGTGCCCACCTGTTCCATTATTCTGTGTTTATTTTATATTTTTATTTTCTGTTTTATACCAAATGTGTATATCTAGCTTATTTTTGTATTAACTTTTAAAGTCCTCTAAACACTGTCTCATTATTTCATTTAAAAATGGTTTTGTTATTGCAGTTTAAAGAGAAATAAGCAATCAGACGTTTGGGTTTTCACATGTAGTTAACTTCTTTGACCATTTTCATAGAGCCTGTGAAACCACCTAAATTCTTACTCTGTTTGGTTGAACTATTTTAAGAGGTGATGCTGAAGGTTATTATTCTGGAGACAGAAATCGCCATGCCTTTAAAGTAGATATTGTAAATTTTCAAAACAACCGTGTAGATTTTGAATAGAGAAGGCTTAAAAGACTCTTAGAAATGTTTTTTCTCCATAAACAAGTGTCACCAGTAGAAACAACACATCACTATGTTGTGTGTTATCACCATTTTCAAAGGGTTTAGGACATTTCTTTCTAATCTTCAGGTTTGTGTAGACTGCTGCCTCTTAGCTCAGGATTCTTAAAATGTATTCATAAAACATGACATTCTCTTCTTTGTGCTTATTATAATTCTGTGTTGAGGAAATGACAGATACATGTGACATGGATACATTGTAACATCACTTGTTATAATTTGTGTCTTCCTAAGGAGGTTTCCTACTGTGTTAATCATTTATGGAAATAGTGCTTAGAAGGAGATGGCTGAAATATGTTTTTAAAGGCTGAATTTTGGACCTTTCTACATTTTCTGTCTTCATCCTCAGAGCTGAGTGTTTCTGTGCGATGTTTCACAGGTCAAAGATGAAGAGCATCAGTGTTCCCTGGGGAATCTGAAGATCCCTCTCAGTCAGCTGCTCACCAGTGATGACATGACCATGAACCAGCGATTCCAACTCAGTAATTCAGGTCCAAACAGCACTCTGAAGATGAAGATCGCCCTCAGGGTACTGTAGTCTCCCACAGTAAATCTAGGAGTGGACAGGGGGCAGGCTGCATTGGCGATCCTCAAGGGCGCTTGCTGCTTCAGAGTGTGGTGGAGGCACAGGACCCGGGGAGAGGTGACCGTAGTGCTGATTGCATGGCACAGGTGGACAGCGATCATGGTGACAGCCACAGGGCAGAGGACATGTGGGTGGTGATCACAGTGACAGCCACAGGACATGAGTGGATAGTGATCACAGTGCTGGCCACAGGGCCAGGCGCAAACAAGAAGGAGCTTGTTTTGGGAGCATGGAAACTATTGCTGAATGTTGTGGGAGCTCAGGGGAGAAATGATTAAGGCTTAGACTCAAACATGCAACAGAAGTAGTATTTCCAGATTGCTTGAGCAGGCCCAGGATTATTCCTTATGCTTTCACATGAATCCAGCCAACTGTTGTTTTACCCTTTGTTCCAGAAGGTATTGCTATCTGGATCAACAAAGTTTGTGCTGAGGTTAAGTTTTCAAAGGTTACATCCCACAACTAGAAGGACCTGCAACTAAGATATACAACTGTGTACGGGGCTGGGGGGCGGGGGGAGGGAGTTGGGGAGATAAAGCAGAAAAAAAAAAAAAAGATTGGCAACAGTTGTTAGCCCAGGTGCCAATCTTTAAAAAAAAAAATGTTCAAAGGTCATTCTGAAGAGAAAATATAATAAAACTACAAGATGGTAGAAATTACAGAAAGAAAGAATTTTGTTCAAAATAGACAATACTTCATTTGTAAGTACCTAAGGAAATGTTGAAAATAAAACGGGCAATCATACGGGAAAATGCTAAAACTCACTAATTTAAAAAATGCAAATTAAAATGAAGAACCAGGGGCCACCCCCGTGGCCAAGTGGTTAAGTTCGTGCGCTCTGCTTCGGCGGCCCAGGGTTTCACTGGTTTGGATCCTGGGTGCAGACATGGCACCGGTTATCAAGCCATGCTGAGGTGGCATCCCACATTGCACAACCAGAGGCACTCACAACCAGAATATACAACTATGCACTAGTGGGGTTTGGGGAGAAGAAGAAGAAGAAAAAAAAACAGAAGATTGGCAACAGATGTTAGCTCAGGTGTCAATCTTTAAAAAAAAAAACTTTAAAAAATTAGAACAGGTGAGCCCTATTAGCCCAGTAGTTAAGTTCAGCGTGCTCTGCTCTGGCAGCCTGGGTTTGGCTCCCTAGTGCAGACCTACACCACTCATCTGTCAGTGGCCATGCTATAGCAGCAGCTCACATACAAAAAGAGGAAGATTGGCAGCAGATGTTATCTCAGGGCGAATCTTCCTCAGCAACAAAAAAAGAGAAAAATTAGAACAAACCTAGTCTGTGGAGGGTGCAGTGGAAATGGTCTTCTTGAACCTGGTCATGGCCCTGAGTATCAGCCTTTCCTGAGAGGACTGCAGTGTCTTCAGGCTGTAAATCACAGAGCCCCTCGGACCAGGGACCCTTTCTCTGCAAATCTGACTTTTGGTAATAATGTAGGATGTGAGGAGGCCACGGACATAAAGAGGTTTGCTGTAACTTTATTTCGTAAAAGCAGGAAAAAACTTCAAGCCATCATAATAACCTCAGAGTGCAGGGGTTTATGGAGTATTGTGTGCATTAAAAGTAAATATTAACAGCCAGCAAAGTGAACTATTCGTGTGCTGTCACAAAGTGAAAGGCATGAGAGCTGCTCCCGCCTTGAAGCTCGGTGTTTGGGGTAACTCTGCTGGGCAGAGGTGTCCTCAGCCCCCATCCCTTCCCTGGGGTCGCTGTTGGAGGGCCCCCGTGTAGGAAAAGAGATTAGTCTCCTGTCCAGGGCATGCAACTCAGGCTCTTCCAGCAGTAGCATTGCCCCACGGCTGTGCAGCGATGTGTGCACGTGGAAGAGGCTGAGGATAAATACACGGAAACATTTGCATCATGAGAGTGTGATTTTGATGACTTAAAGTTCCCTTTTTCTAAACTCTCTGTAATGTGGTATTACTTTAATAATAGAATAGCTGAACTGATAGACTAGATTGTTTTTAATACTTTGTGCCAAGTTTTAAAGAAACACTTGCAAATGAAAAGCTGTTCATGTATCAGGCTGTTACCACTGTGTTTATTTCCACCTCCAGGTGCTGCACCTTGAAAAGCAAGAGCGGTCTCCAGACCACCAACACTCAGCCCAAGTAAAGCGACCCTCTGTTTCCAAAGAAGGGAGAAAAGTATCTGTCAGATCTCAGATGTCTGCGTCACCAGGCGCTGGCGACAGCAGCACGGCCCCATCCACACCAGTCACTGGGGGCAGTGATAAGCCTGGCGTGGAAGAGAGAGCCCAGCCCGCGGAGGCCAGCCCTCTGGGGCCGCGAGACCTGGGCAGGAGCTCCTCCAGCCTCCACGCTGGCCCCGCCTGCTCCCCCAGCCACATCTCTGTCAAGGAGCCCACCCCAAGCATAGCCTCAGACATATCACTGCCCATCGCCACACAGGAGCTCCGGCAGAGGCTGCGGCAGCTTGAAAAGTAACTAGACGCTCACTTTGCTCTTGTTGAATCCAAGCGCACGCCTCACGTGCTGTGGCGAGGGCACGCTGTCTCAGCTGAAGGAACTTCAGGGGACGTTGCCCTGTCACTCACTGAGTCTCACTTGCACAGTAAAGCCTACCATTTTCTAGGGCCTAATATTTGGCTCATTTAGAGACAGCAGTGGGGTGACAGGTTGACAGCTACGAGAGGCTCTGCAGCTCCTGTGTGCCTGTCCTCAGACCAGCAGGCAGAGGCTGGAGCTGACTGTGGAACCTTCATATGGGGGTTGGCATCTGTTTGCTGTATAAGAACAGGTCCTGTTCTTTCATTTTGGGTCAACACCCCATTACTACTATCAAGTTGCTTTGCTCTGTCTCTGAATGTTTGTGTTGATTTCTAATTTAAGTCCCATGATTTATAGATGTATTTGTGGTTTCTTTAGATAAGGAGGAAAAAACAGTCTGAGCTATCACAGGTTTCAGATGTTAACCTTTTCCTCTCAGTGGAAGGGGTAGAGTTGCCCTTTGAAACAGTTCTTCCTGTTTGTCGTTCTGAGAGGCGTGTTAAGTAATAAGAAGTGGAGGCAGAAGTGAAACATGTGGTCCTGATGGTTAGAGGGACTCCCTTGGCACTTCTCTCCTTTGTACTTTCTCATGTCCCCTATTTTGGAAAAAAGAAATCAGTCCCTCCCTCTTGTCTCGAAGGAAATAGAATTTTAAAGCAGAAACCGGTTCTTCTCAGGAGTTAAATTTGGGGAGTAGCCAAGATGACCATAGGGACACTGAGCCAGAGCAGCCGTTGGTTGTCTTGGGAGTCTGTGCTCAACTTGAGAAAGAAATGGAAGCAGGGCCGTTGCAGTCTCATGAGATGACCATCAGTCAGAAATAAAGCCAGCAACATCTGTGGGGCTGTGAGAAAGGATACACAGGTTTGCGTAGTTACAGGCTACGCCTTGCTTCGCAAAGACCGCAGAATTGATGTTTCTAAGTAGGAGACCGCTATGTCTCATTTTTCCTTGGGGCCTAACTGAAAAAGCTGTCAGTTTTTGATAATTAAATTTTATTAACCCTCAACCGAAGTATGAATTAAACTGGTTGATTTACACTCAGAAATTCAGATTAAGTTCAAGTTCACGGGTAATTTGATTCCTTCTTATCTGAATGAACATGATCTTACCCAGTAGTTGTACCAGTGACTCAGGCCCTACGTGAGGTCAGAGCAGAGCTGTAATTTCCCTCTTTGTTTCGCCAGTGGGGCAACACTGGGGCAGTCTCCCCTGGGGCAGATCCAGCTGACCATCCGGCACAGCTCGCAGAGAAACAAGCTCGTGGTGGTTGTGCACTCCTGCAGGTGAGCTGGCGCCCAGGGCCTTGGTGTAGACGTGGGATAGGGCAAGGAACCACTTAGTTGTAGTTTCCCCAAACAGATGAGTTTGTTCCATTTGAAGAACAAAGCACTCAGAGTGTGCTATAGTTAGACAGTGATCCAAGTATTCAGTTCTTATTCTTTTTTTGTTCTTAACGTCGTTTCATAAACATTTTCTACTCGTAACCATTTTGATTGCTTTGTAATACTCCCTTGAACTGCCATACTGTAGTTTATATAACATTCCTTATAGTTGGATGTTTGACATATCTATGTTATGTGTAGCACAATAATGAACATAGTTTTCTTTTCTTGAAGTGTCTTTTTGGCATTAAATGTCCAGGAGTAGGCTTGTATCAATTCAAAGGATCGAAAAAAGTTTCTGGGACCCTGATAGATATTTCCAGGCTTTCAAGAAAGAGCCTCCCAGTTGACAGCGGCACCCAGGGGTACGGGTGTACGATCAGGAACGATTTATTTTAACTTGTGCAGGGTACTACTTTAGTAAGTGTCATGTGGGACGACAGTGTTGCTTTAATTTGTATTTGATTAATGGTGATGGTATGAAGCTAACTAATTTCCTTTTATGTGACTTGTCTGTGTTGGTAGTAGTTGTGATATAAGTATTTGGATCTTGTAAAAAGCTGTTGGAAACATAGGAAAATAACATTAGTGACATTTAGAAATATGATTATATAAACGTAGAGTTCAATTCAATACATACTTATTGAGCACCTTATATGTTCTTGCTACTGAGATAATTCCTATGGGAGATGCAGGAACAGAAGACCGTTTTAGAGAACTCCAACTAAACAGTCCCGTAACTCAGTTTTCAGGTTGATCAATAAGTGAATAAATTGAAGTGGTTGCACATAACTAAATCCTAAACTGTGTTTGGTTCAGACCAGTTGTCCTAGGAAAAGAGCAACGGGCACATGAAGGAGGTGGGCCCTTGTCTGTGTAGGGTTTAAGTGGACAAGGACAGAGAGTGGGGTCAGCAGCCTGAGCAGGCACCAGAGAGGGCCGGGTGCCACTCAGGGGTCCTGTGGACAGTGGCTATGTGGCCTCCCTGGGGTCTCCTCGGAGGCCACTTTGTTTGGCTGAAAGGCTGACCATGTTACCTCACTGTGGAAAGAGGAAGCAGTAGTTTCTATGTTGGACACAGGGCAAGGGGTCACAAGACTCCCCAAACTCTGGGCTCAAAAATTGGAGACACGGGGCCGGCCCAGTGGTGCAGTGGATAAGTTCACATGTTCCGCTTCAGCGGCCTGGGGTTTGCCAGTTTGGATCCTGGGCGCAGACCTACACAGAGCTTATCAAGCCATGCTGTGGTAGGCATCCCATATACAAAATAGAGGAAGGTGGGCACAGATGTTAGCTCAGGGCCAATCTTCCTCAGCAAAAAGAGGAGGCTTGGTGGCAGATGTTAGCTCAGGCTAATCTTCCTCAGAAAAAAAAATGGAGGCAAAATAACCTTAGGGAACGCTGCTGAGAGGTTTGAAAGAGGCCAGCAGGGGAGCATGGGGTGAAGACAGAAGCATGCTGCACTCTTGTGCTCCTCAGCTTTAGATAAACATGAAATCAAAATAGTAGATTCAAATATGATGTTGTCCTTTTCCAAGATTCTAATACCTAGTGTTCTCTGGTTTGTGTCATAAGAAACCTCATTGCCTTCTCTGAAGATGGCTCTGACCCGTATGTCCGCATGTATTTGTTACCAGACAAGAGGAGGTCAGGAAGGAGAAAAACACACGTGTCAAAGAAAACACTGAACCCGGTGTTTGATCAGAGGTATGGTGTGTACTCAGCTGGGGGTAGACTGTTTGGGTTAACAAATAAGGAAGGCCTGATCAGTACCTTTCACGACTAAAGCATTTAAGCCAACACACTGTTGAGAGGTGTAAGTGAAAACCCTCCTCAAAATTAGTAGATGTGGACTTGTTAAACAAATAAGTATTTTGAACTTCATGTAGAAGTGCTAAACATCATAAATTCAAGTTGTAAACACTGTGGACAGGGAGACTACTGATTAAATAAAGAGCAAATGATTGATGACCGGAAAGAACTTTCATTCATGGGGGCTCTATTGATTTTTACTGAGTTATAAATTAAATCTGAGAATTTTAAAATAACAATAAACCTATAACATTTTAAAATAGAATATTCTTGTGAAAAACAACTAGTTTCCAAACCAATAAAATAATTAGTGGGAAGTGGCAGTATTTTAATTTTTGTGAATCTGCTTAGTAGTCTGGCTTAATAGAGGCGTATGTTTGCTCTGCAGTCACTCTAGTGTGGTGACCTGGGGAGGCTCTTGGGGACCCTGGGCTGCTTCAGGCCAACTTACAGAGCCTCAATCTGTGCAAATTTCGTGTCTTATGTTATAGTCCTCTGTAGCTAAAAAGAACACCAGCATTTGGGAAATGGTCAAGTTGAATGGTAGCAATATCTGTGAATTTAGTTTACATTCCATCTTTAAAGATGCTACTCCTTTATCGCATTCTCACACCAGTAACTTTACTTGAACCAAGGTCAGAAACCGACAGACATCTACTAAATCCTGGTGTGGGCACGTTTCATCTGACAGAGTGTTCATAGCTGCAGCACTTAAGAATTGGAAGCTCCACATACGAGTTTGGGTTTCTCACTGCTGTAGCTCCGTGGGAAAGCCAGCCGTGTTCCAGCCATGTCCCTATGTGGCTGCAGGCCCTCAGTCCTCTGGGTTGCCAGAGACCCTGGTGCACTCTAGCCACACACCAGCCAGCTTCTGGGACTTGGTTCCCCAGAGGCATTTCAGTTGGTGGCATGTGACTTAGGGCATTGAAAAGTATGTGGCAGACCTTTACCCTTCTGTGAAGTTGTATTACATAATACCTTTTTTCAGTTCACTCACCCAGGGTTTGAAATTACTCTCCTTTAGTCCTTAGGCCTGTGTGAGTGAACTGTCATGTCAGATGTTACCACCACAGTCCATGTTTTAACTACCATAAAGAGTTAGGTGTTTATGTTCAAAAGAACACCCCTCCCACACGTGAGGGAGCCACAGGTATTAGGGCCTTCCACATAGGATCGAGAACCTTCTCTTATGTTTGGAAAGTAATGAAAAAAAACTTCGTTTTTGAGTCTTCATGAAATGCCAGATCCAAACATCTAACAGAACTCAATTTTACAATATTTATTTTACAATAAATTTAGAAAAAATTTTACAAAAAAATTACAGTATTTATTTTACAATAAATAACAAACATAACATTTGGAATGGCCTTAAAAACAGAAATGGCATTTTTTAGTTATAATAAAATACAGCAAAATTATGGAGAAATTTAAGGAAGGTTGTCTTTTTCCATTTCAGCTTTGATTTCAGCGTTTCACTACCGGAAGTGCAGAGGAGAACGCTGGACGTAGCAGTGAAGAACAGTGGCGGCTTCCTGTCCAAAGACAAAGGGCTTCTTGGCAAAGTAAGTTTGGAAAAAATCCTTCATCAGTTACTACACTTTGTAAAAATTAAACACTTACCCAAAGTGTATTTTTTAGACCATACTTATATAAGTGGAAAGGGGTGAACTTACTCCCTCATTAATGCTCATTTCTAAAATAGTGGACTGTGAAAGATGTGTATCAACTAAGACATCACTACATTTTAAAGATACTTTAAGGTATTTTTGTTGTTTTACATATTCATATTATTGGCACATTAGTCACACTAATTTCCTGGACTTATACTTGAAGAAAAGGTTATTTTTAAATTTTTTTTCAAGTATCACATTGAAAGAAAACCCAAAGGAAGATATTCTCCTACAATTCTGTCTCCTCAACTCATCAGCTGTTCTTTTTCTGACAAATCATTGGCTTCATTTCTCTCAATTCCTTCTAGTCTTTGTCCATATTCACATTTAACTCTTGCCTTAGATTATATGTGCTTTAATTATATGCTTAGAGGTTAAGTTAGAGAAGAGGAGTTTTGAATTGTAGATGCCATTAACAGAAAATCCACGTCAGCTATGCTGCCATTAAAGGCACATGAGCCAATATCTCTATAAATTATCTCCACTGATACTTCCTAGCAACTTAATTTTAAGGCTGTTGGATACAGGAAGGACCTCTTGGCTATCATCAACCATACAGCTCATAGGATTGTAGGTTAAGAAAATATTGAAAAACAAGAGACTCAAAATAAAGGAAAGTTCTGTGTTGCCAGATGAAGACAGAGGAAGATTGGAGAGATTGAAGAAGTGGTGAAAAGTCTAAAAGGAATTCTGTCAGCCCACTTTTACAAACTTTTAACCCACAGGTATTGGTTGGTCTGGCGTCTGAAGAGCTCGCCAAAGGCTGGACCCAGTGGTGAGTGTCCCTACCACAGACAGACAAACCAATAGACAGAGAACCCTGTATGTTTATCTGATGACACTATCCACAGTTGACCGCATGTCTGTTGTCATCATCCTTTGCTCTCAGGTACGACCTCACGGAAGATGGGACGAGACCACAGGTGGTGACGTAGGCCACTCTGGCGTGAGGAGCCCTCCTTGGTGTGTCTGCCCCACCCCACGTGCTCGGAATGCACCCTCCCACAGACATACTGATACTATTTTTATAATGTCATCTATTTAGTTATACCTACCTTAATAGTTTTATAAAACTTGTTGACATTTTAGGCATATTTGGCCAATATTATTGTTAATTTTGTATGTTTAATCTCCTCTAGTATTTCACCAGTTATTTAGAATACAGTAGGATAGTAGTTGATTACTGTCTGATGTAAAGCTATGTGAGTTGTATCTACTGGGAAGTGGATATATGTATATGCTTTACTATTGCCTTGTTTTGTATATCACTGAGGTACACTATGCCATGTAAATAGACTCTATTTTTTATAATATCTACATGCTGGTTTGAATTCAGAAGAAAATGAATCAAGGAAATATATATATTTTTTCTTCTAAAACTTATTAAATTCTTATGACAAATAATCATTTTTGTCTTTGCAGGAAAAAGTTCTCAGTGACCTATTTTGTGGTGTTTCTTTTTAAAAAGAAAAGCTGAAAGATTATTACCTATTAGTGTATTTCTGCCCATTCTGGATAATGAAAGTATTCAGAATATTAACACTTTCATAAATATAAAGATGTATTGTTGAGAAGTCAGTTGAAGAACTTATAAGGAAAAAATATTGTATAACTGAGTAATTTAAAATATTAAGAGAATTGTCATGGTTCATAAATCATAGTGTTCTAATCTGAAATTCCTTACATAAAATGAAATGTCTTAAGTTTATTTTTAATTGCTTGTTATAACTTACTTATGAGGTAGTACACAGATACACAATCATACTTTTTAAAAAAGATAATACAGACAGACTTTCAATGTTAGCAGTTAGGCTGTTGTGAAATAGTTGGTGGTGAGCTTTGTTAATTTTCGGTGTTTTCCCAGCCTGTAAAGAAAGACAAGCTCACATTGTCACCAAAAAGATCAGGGTAAGCAGATAGGAAATGGTGTTAAAAACCAAATCGTTGGTCAGTATGACATCATGCAGAGAACAGATCACCCTGATAGCTCTTTCATTTGTCCGTCAGTGTGACATCATACAGAGGACAGGTCACCCTGAGCTGGCACTCGGTTTCACTCTGCTCTTATGCACAGACCACCACCAGTTCCATAGGGTTCGGCCCAGCGGCCAGCACAGTAGCTGTTGGTTGTAAATAACCATTTCCTGGGTTTCCTCACTTATGCCATGACTGACCTCAGTGTTGGGATATTGTTATACTATTTTTATTTTGGAATATGTTTTTCTTTTTAGGTTGTTAAAAGCATGTTTTATTTACTTAAGAGTTCCAGACCTCTTGGGAGGTGAGGCTCTATGGCAGTGTCATAGCTGTGCACGCCTATCAACAACGTATGCACATATGCAGAAAGAGTTTGAAATATTTTAAGCTGTATGATGCAAATGACTTCCTTAGCCATAAGAGCATCTAAAATCATGTATACATTATTGAGGAAATACAGCTTTGTGCTTGAAATTGGAGATCTCACCGTAAATCATTTCCTGGACTTCGGGACTGCTCGCGTGACCAAACATACCAAAGTGCCTCTAGGGGACGCTGGTGGTTATTTCTGCACACTCCTCCTTCCAGCAGATTTCAGTTTCCTCTTAATTTACACCTCAAACCCTGAGTTTGTTTATAGCGGTGTCTATAGCTCCACAACACATTTCACGTGCTCATAACGACCAGTATAATCTCACTGTTTCCTGTTTAATGAAACTTCACTCCAAAGCGTCATTGTAAATCGCTTCCTGTGTTCATGTATAGGGGAAGTTTATGAATATGCTGATACACACATCAACATATACCCACACGGAACATTTACTGTGGTATTGTAGTAGACAGGTTGCCTGCCTGCAGTATTAGATTTATTGAGAATTTTTTTTTTCCCCTGAGGAAGATTAGCCCTGAGCTAACATCTGTGCCAGTCTTCCTCCACTTTATATGTGGGTCACCGTCACAGCATGGCTGACAAGTGGTGAGGGCTGTGCCCAGGATCCCAACCCATGGGCCTGGGCCAACAAAGCAGAGCACGCTGAACTTAACCACTATGCCACGGGGCTGGCCTTAAGGCCTTTTTTTGTTTTTTTAAAGATTGGCACCTGAGCTAACATCTGTTGCCAATCTTCTTTTTTTTTTCCCTTCTTCTTCTTCTCCCCAAAGTCCCCCAGTACATAGTTGTATATTCCAGTTGTGAGTGCCTCTAGTTGTGCCATGTGGGACGCCACCTCAGCATGGCCTGATGAGCAGTGCCATGTCCATGCCCAGGATCCAAACCGGCGAAACCCTGGGCCACTGAAGAGGAGCACATGAACTTAACCACTTGGCCATGGGGCCGGCCCCAAGGATTTTTTTTTAAATTAGATCTGTTGAAGGGCTTTTGGCTCTTTGTTGAAATTTAGCATACCAAGAATTTTTACTGACATCCTATACTTTTGGATTTTGCAACCATGTGCTTCACCTATTCAATGTGGATTTTACTTGATGGAATGCTTTATTTAAACACCTAGGCAAAATAAGTACAGTGAAAGATACAAAGCCCAAATAAAGCCAGTTAGCAGCATGATGCCCTGCCCTCTGATGTGGTGATGGTGGGGGCTGGAGGCAGAGACCCACCTGCAGGTTCCAAGCCCCTAGCAGCCAGCTCCATTCTCTTTAAAAGAAAGGACAGGGCTGATTCTAAGGGCACCAAACACCTCCCAGATGTGATTCTGTCTCCTGTGGCAAGATAAGTGCTCGAAGGGAAGCTCTCGAGTGCTGTGGGAAGGGCCAGGCTCTGCACTCCAGGGTCCTGCGGTGGAGAACACTCTGAGTTCTCAACCTGTTCTTTTCTGGTTCTTAATAACAGGTTCATCTAGAAAAAGGGAACTGTAACTTTTCTACACACCAATGAGCCAAACCAGTGGAGGGAAGATTAACTTAAATGAATTCGAATTCTGTTAGTTTGTTCATGTGGGTTGCTTATCCTGTGCCTTAAATTAGTACAGAAATATGAAGACGTTGTTTTCAAGTTTCAGATGAATCAAAAGAAGCCTCGTACTAGATTTACCACAGTTTGTATTCTGTACTGTGAGAATTCCTTTTACGGATGTTCTTCATGAAGAGGTCGACCCTTGTTCAAGAACCTAAGCCAAATGCAAGTCCGTGTGCTCCTTTGTACTGTGGTTGCTCCTTCAGCCCCAGCTCCAGCCCGATCACCCCTGCAGACGGAAACAGCAGCGGGTGTTTTTCATTATTACAGAATGTCCTTTCTGCTCGGCTAATTTTACATGACAATGCATGTATTTATTCAATAAAACTTTTATGTTAGCTCACTTGCGATTTGTTTTTCCTTTGTGTTTTGAAATGAAATTTTTACTATAGAACCAGATAATTTGAACAGTAGATATATTGTACTATTTATACGTGCTATTTGTGAATCCTTTCATTTTCAAAAGAACCACATCAGATCATTGACATTCCTCCTCTTATTTCCATCTTTGTTTGACTCTCCTCTGCCTACCTTAGACTCTGGGTTTTGAAAACTGCTCTTCTGAAAGGTAATCATGAGGAGAGAATATAGTCTTTATATATGCTTTACAACCAGAACCCTGAGAAGCAGTGAAACAGAGGCTGGTTTGAACAGATGGAGAGGAAATGCCGGAGGTCTTCACCACTGTCCACACCCACTCCTGACGACTGGGATTGACCGAGGGCCTCCTGCTCTGGGTCCCTCCATTCAGCACGGTTGACCTCTTTTCTCGCTCTCCAACGCCTTGCTCTCTGGGTTTCCCTTCCACATTGCCGGCCATTGATCAAGCTCTTTTACCATCTTCTCCTCTAACCGGACTCTGAATATTAGAGTAACACAGGTTTTGGTTCTGGTCCCTTTTTTAATTTGTACTCTGTATTCTGCTTAATTCCATGGGTATTCCGTGCTTTCCAAATTTACATCTCCAGTGCAGACTTTGCTGCTGAGCGCAAGATTGTTTATGCAGCTGCTGCTCATTATGCCTCTGCACGTGGAGGTCTCGCAGTGTTCCTGTCTGTCTAGGTGCTTGACCTCGAGGCCTGGACCCTCCTGACACTCCCTCTGCCTCTCTTCCCATGTGCAGATGCCAAGTCCTTTAGTTCTTCTGAGGATGTACCCACCGTGACTGCTGTGCCTGCCTGTAAGCTCCCAACATTCGGGCCTCAGCCCCTCTTTCCCCTGCTGCATTCTCCACACAACAGCCAAAGGAATCTTTCAAAACACAAATCTGACTCATCAGTCTACTGCTTTCCATTGCCCTTAAAATAAGACCGAGAGCTTAACATATCTCTGAGGCCCTGACAACTTCCCAGCTGTATTTCCTCCTCCTGCACCCCTCACCTATGATACTTCTCAGTTCCTCAGACGTCCCCCTCCTTCCCATCTCACTGCCTCCAGCCTGCTTTTTGCCTGACACTGGCCCAGCTGACTTCCACCCGCCTTGACTCCTCAGCGTAAAGTGTATTTGCCAGGCGTCCTGACCGACACGCTCCCGTCAGACGCGGTCTCCCTGTCATCAGCTCTCTCAGTGCCTGTTACCTTCCAGCACCACACTGAACATGTTGCAGTTTGGCTTTATTTAAAGCCATTTCCCACCTGGACTGTAAGATCCCAAGGGCAGAGATGATGTGGATGTTATTTAAATCTTTTTCCGATGGCTTATCACTTTTCCTGGCACGTAGTTGGTGAACAAATATCTATTGAATAAGTGATGTATATATAAAGTTTGGCAGACCCTAAGTAACAATTTATTTTAACAAGTTTCTGTTTAAAGATGGACAGACATGCTCCGCTCCGGCAGCCCGGGTTTGGTTCCTGTGGGTGGACCTGCCCACTTGTCTGTCAGTGGCCATGGTGTGGCAGTGGCTCACATACAAAAAGAGGAAGATTGGCAACAGATGTTAGCTCAGGCAAATTTTCCTCAGGAAAAAAAAAATACTATTTAGATAAAAAGCCAACAGTGTAATTATCTGAGAAACAATTGAGGTGTAAAAATAGGAGATGAGCCAGGAAGTCTGCCTTTAGCGTTATTCTGGAAATCCTGGGCAATACAATATGAAAAGAAAAAGATTATAAATTTTATATCAAGAAAAAATCAGGGGCCGGCCCAGTGGCACATGCCTTGCTGTGGTAGGCGTCCCACATATAAAGTGGAAGAAGATGGGCACGGATGTTAGGGCCAGTCTTCCTCAGCGAAAAGAGGAGGATTGGCAGCAGTTGGCTCAGGGCTAGTCTTCCTAAAAACAAAAGAAAAAAGTTTCAAATATGAGGTCATCTACCTGAAAAATAAAATAATCTGAAGACTTTTGAATTTAACATGTTTAATAGGGGAAAATCATAAAAACATACAAATCTCTGTGTCTTATACACTATTGTTAATAGCTATTAGAAAATGGGCTAGCCCGGTGGCATAGTGGTTAACTTTGCACACTCTGTTTCAGAGGCCTGGGGTTCGCCAGTTCAGATCCTGGACGCAGACCTACATACCACTCATTAAGCCATGCTGTGGCAGTATCCCACATGGAAAATAGAGGAAGATTGGCATGGATGTTAGCTTAGGGACAATCTTCCTCACGAAAAAGAAAGAAAAAAAAATACAATGGAAAAAACCGATACAGCAGCCTTGGAACCACAATAGCAATGAAAACCTAAAGCCAAACAAGGGAGGGGCAGAATAGGTTTAGAGCTCCCCGAAAGCCCCATCCCCAGAAAACTCAGTATTTGACCTGTCTGGCTCCTGGGAAAACCGTATCACCAGGGTGTTTATCAAAAGAATTTGTGGCAATTGTTTACCATTGCAGCTGCCTGGAGCAGTGATACCAGTTGGGATAAACAAGAGGCCAGTGAAAAAATTTTAAAGGGAAATCTGGAAAATGAGGTGTTCATAGGAGGCTTTGAAAAACTCTGGTGTTCCTGGGACTCTAGAAAGATGTGTGCATGTGCAGGGCTGTGTGCGTGCCCAGGAAGGGCCGGTAAGAGTCGTAATCTGCCACCTCTGGTTGGGGTTGAGATTCTGTGCCAGCAGGAAGTGAAGGCTGAGGCAGAGTCGTGAGCTGCCTGCCAGAATGTTGAAGACGTACCCTAACACACACACAGGCCCTCAGCAAAGACTGGGAGACTAGTTCAAAGTATTTAAAGAAATTTCTGTCCAATCGTTAGCTGACCCAAATCAGCTAACTGAGCAGAGGCTAGAGGCAACACATGACAAAGAATAAAGCTTTTAGAAAATCAATGCAAGAAAGTTACTAAATAAAAAAATTAAGAGGGAGAGATTTTATTTGCATTGTTGCCATGCTATATTATTTTAAATGTCTAGTTTTAAACAACAACAACAAACATGAAACAGTAAAGTAGGGACTATACCCAGGGGGGGAAAGAGTCAGTAGAAAGTGTCCCTGAGGAAGCCCGGATGTTGGACACAGTGGACAAAAACCTCAAATCAGCTATTATGAGTATGTTCAAAGAAATAAA